CATTGACTCACGTGTTGATAGTACCCAATTAGAACTATCTGAGTATGATTCACCTTACAGAAAAGATAGAAACTGTCACGGTGGGGGTGTTTTGATATACGTTCGAAGCGATATGACATGTACCCGACTGACGGAACTCGAATTTGATGCTGATGTTATTTGGATAAAAATAAATTTACAAATTTTACTCTGTTGTACATATAGATCTGAAAAATCACCGACTAATTATTGGTCTTTATTAGATCAGTCAATCGAAAAAGCACTTGATATTTCAAATAAAGTTATTTTATTAGGTGATCTGAATGCCGATCTGTTAAACGAAAATAATTTGCTCCAACCTATTTTATATGCGCACGATCTAAAAAATGTAATAACCAAACCAACACGAATAACTCAAACCTCCAGTAGTCTTATTGATCCAATTATAATATCAAATACAATTGAATTACTAAAAGCTGATACCTTAGAAGTTCCCAGTCATGTGTCAGATCACTATGCTACATTTATGTTTTTTAAATCATCCAACCACCATAATAATGCTTTTCAACGCAAAATATTTATTTATAAACGCGCAAACTTTACAAATATTAATAATGAAATTAACAATACAAATTGGGATGAACTGTTAAGCGAAAATTTTTCCATAGACCAACTCATTGAAAAATTTGATACGAAAATGGATGAAATAATATGTCAGCATCTACCTTCGAAGATAATAACAATTCGTCCAAAAGACAAGCCATGGTTTAGTCATGAAATTCGAATTCAAATACGAATCCGCGACAGATTAAGAAAGAAAGCACTCAGATCAAAAAATGACTTAACTCTTAAGTTATACAAGCAAGCCAGGAATAAATTTAACAATATGAAGAAATATGCCAAGGAGCATTACTATAATACAATAAATGATAAAATCAATCAGTTAAAATCAAATTCTCAAAAGGACTACTGGACTATTATGAAAAGTTTTGTGTCTTCGGGAATCTCCCGAAATATTCCTCCACTTTACTGTAAAGAGCACAAGTCTTTAATTTACGACCAGAAATCAAAAGCTAATTTATTAAACGAATATTTTGCATCTATATCCACTATAACAGACATGAATACTTTGCCCGAATTTTCACAAAGATATGAAACTGACTGTAAACCTATTGATATATCTTTGAATACTATAAAGCAAAAATTAAAAGAAATTAATACGTCAAAATCTAGTGGACCAGGCAATCTAAATAATAAAATACTAGTTTCTATTTATTCAACTATATGTTATCCCTTATATTTAATATTCAATAGGATTTTAAGCCACGGAATATTTCCAAGCAAATGGAAGTTAGCTCACGTTATCCCACTACATAAAAAAGATGAACGATGTAATATTCAAAACTATCGACCAATATCCTTACTAAATAGTGTTTCTAAATTATTTGAACGTATAGTTTATCAACACTTATTGACCTACTTTTTAAATAACAATTTGATTAATAAATATCAATCTGGATTCCTCCCAGGAGTCTCAACCGTGCACCAACTGCTTGAAATGTACGATCATATATGCAATTCACTTGACAAGAAAGAATCTATAGCTTTCATATTTTGTGATATATCGAAAGCTTTTGACAAAGTATCTCACAGGGGCCTGTTACATAAATTATCTAATTACGGTATCACTGGTAAATTACATGATCTCATCTCATCTTATCTCGCAAATCGTGATCAGATGGTACTGATAGACAACATATCATCTGATATTGGGCATACAAATTCTGGGGTACCACAAGGGTCAGTTCTCGGACCCTTATTATTTCTTATTTACATCAACGATATTTCTGATGGTTTATTAGGAATCACTCGTTTATTCGCTGACGATACGTCTTTGTCGTCTTCTTCAAAATGTTTTGAAAAGATTGAATCTGAATTAAACTTTAATTTATCGAAATTATTACAATGGTCTAAAAAATGGTTACTGACATTTAATCCAGAAAAGACAAAACTAATGATTTTCAGTTACCAAAAAATCAATTATCCGCTTAATATTAAATATGATAACACATATATATTAGATACATCGGTCCATAAGCACCTAGGGGTGTTTCTTCAGAATAATGGGAAATGGAATTATCATGTTGACTTTATACTTAAAGTAGCTTCATTCAAACTTAATCAACTTCGCAAATTAAAATTTGTAATTTCTCAAGATTCACTTAATAAACTCTATAAATGTTTTATTTTGCCTATAATCGAATACTGTTGTGAGGTTTGGGATAACTGTAGTAATTATAATTCCGATAAATTAGAAATTTTCCAGATGAAAGCAGCTCGGGTTGTTACAGGAAATACAATTTACGCCTCCAGACAATCTTTATATTTTGAAACTGCATGGTCAAAATTGAGCGAAAGAAGAAAGCTTAGACGTTTGTATCAGTTACATAAAATTATCCATGGAATCTGTCCCGTGTATTTTACTAATACTATACATTTTGTAAACGAATCCAACGCACCTTACGATTTACGAAACTCCAACATTCGGGAATCCCGTTGTCGTGTTAGTATCAGACGAAAATCATTCTTTCCGAAAACTATTCATGAATACAATAATTTATCAAAAGATTTAAAAGACATTACAAACGTTAAAGAATTTAAAAAATCTCTAAAACCTAAAACAAAGCCACCAAAATTCAGAAGCATTGGTTCTAGGCCATTATCTATATATCACAATCGTATTCGACATGGATGTAGTAGCTTAAATTTCGATCTATTTCGTTCACATATAATTGAAAATCGATACTGTAGTTGTAACGCTATATCTGTCGAAAATTCGTATCATTATTTTTTTGATTGCCCGAAGTATAGTATTCAACGCTGTGCCCTTTTCAGTAAACTGACATGGCTTGGAAATATTCCTTTCCCTGAATTACACGAAATATTTCTAAACGGTTCATCGTTGCTATCAAAAAAATTAAATAGAATGTTAGTTTTACTTATTCAAAGGTATATCAAAGACTCAAAACGTTTTATATATAATTAAAAATAATTACTGTAATAATGTACCAATAAGTTAACGTATTCGTATGCATTACAATGAATTTTGTAAATAGATGTATATATGTTTATGTTAGTTAAATTAAAAAACAATTCGCCATATTATTTTATATAAAAGTTTGACTGATATTTTGGGAGAAGATTCATAATTTGTTATAAATTGTTCTTATCCCTTTGTAAAGAATATTTTTTGCAATAAAATATGTTTTGATTTAGATAAGCAATTTGATTGGTTGATTGGTCATAATGTGGCCCAAAATATGACCTTTGTCACCAGTCTTAAGCCAAGTTTGATCAACTTTTGTCGCTTTTAAGTTATATTTCTGGCATCCTGACTAAGTTAGCTAGCTTTTAGGCTTTGTTTCAGCAATGGACTCTAAATTTTAATTACGGTCACTAATTAGTGACCTTTGACCATTGAACCAGTCTTAAGCAAGGTTTGTTCAACTTTTGTCGCTCTTAAGTGATATTTTTGTTTTCCTGACTTGGTTAGCTAGCTTTTAGGCTTTGTTTCATTTATGGACTCTAAATTTTAATTACAGTCACTAAATAGTGACCCTTGAGCATTGAACCAATCTTAAGCAAGGTTTGTTCAACTTTTGTCGCCCTTAAGTGATATTTTTTGTTTTCCTGACTTGGTTAGCTAGGTTTTAGTCTTTGTTTCAGTTATGGACTCTAATTTTTAATTACGGTCACTAATTAATGTCATTTAATTAAGCTCTTAAGTAGCATTAGCACAACATTTTATGCTCTTAAGTCATGCATTCTGTTTCTTAGTTTTAAGTATGAAACGTTTGCAAGAAAATTGTGGATGAACATCGAATTTTAACCCCCATTACATTTGTGAGGGTTAGGGGGAGCGCTCCCAGGTATATGCACAGGTTATAAAACTTAAGACTTGCCTTTCCAAAATGATCTAGGGGTAAAATATGTGCTGTAGACCTCAAACCTTTTGGACTCAATATTTTGATTAAATTTCACTGGGCTCCCAAGTTATTATTTCTTCATCAAAATTACATGTCATCAAGTGTTTGGGGTTGTTTTGTTCCAATGTATCAAGTGTTTGGTAGTACTGTTTCTCTGACCCCTGGTTTCATCGAATGAAGCCCATATTTTGCAAGAGATGGATAGAGAACAAGCTAAAAACAAACGTGATATTTTGTACAATCAGGGGCAATAATCCAGGAAGTTATGGCCTGAAATGTGCAAATATCAAAAGGGGCAGAGATCTTTGGGATATAAAGATATGTTTTAAGTTTCATCGAAATCGGATAAAATTGTGACCTCTAGAGGGTCCACAACCTTCGTATTACACACGTACGCTCTTTGTATGCATATTTTCCAGAAGTCATGAGTTGTAAACAGGGTTAGAGCACGTGATTGTTGCCAGGGATTGTGAGTTAGTGTAAGATGTAGGGCTAGGTCTTGGGTTTGGGTTAGCGCTATCATCTGCATGGTGCCGAATGTAACCCGCATTTCGTCATAAATCAATATAGCTTTTGTGATTTATAAAAGTATAGGCTACACTTCCCATCTGAGACTGGCTCGCTAGCCTGGAGGTCGGGTGTTCGATCCTTGCATTGGCCGAGAAAGTTCATCCAGATTTTCCGGCGTGGTTTCCCCTTGTCAGTGATGCAGAAAGGAGGACGTGACAAGGACAGTTGTCTAGTCGTTCGGATGGGATGAAAAATCGAGGTCCCGTGTACACATTGGTGTGCACGTAAAAGATCCCTTGGCAGTTGGAATTCGATATAAGAGTAGGCCGGGCAAAATTTCCCTCATAGCACACTGTATGGCATATGCCCATCTTCATTAGCCCAGGTTAGGAGCAGAACAGTAGGACGTTAAACCCCATTTCATTTCATTTCATTTTCATTTCATTTAACATTTGAGATCCAGCGAATAAATTTCATATTACAAATATTCAGCAAGAAACAAAAATAAAAACACTCAGTTACATATCATATCATATAACAAACTTTTATTTCAAACTTGCAAGTCATAACTAAACCTTAAAATTATTAAAATTTAAGTAGGCAACAACCACGTTCAACATCTGGATATTTGTCAATGTTGCACAGTATAATTACAATAATCTTGAACTCTTGAGTAGTTTGACTTCCTGATTCTATGCCAGGGAAGTATTTTGAATTCTGGGACATCTTAAAGGTGCTACAAATCATTGATATTGTCCACAATAAAGTGTTTGTGATGATCTGATGTGTTGTTTCATTTAGGATTCATTTTATTTAGCTGAAATCGGTTTCTTTACTAATTTCATATTTAGCTAAGGCTGTTGAATGCTGGATATATAGAGTTAGTTAGTTGTAACTAAACACTGGCTCTATCTGTGGACACGTTTTTTTTTTTTACAATCTAATACTGCTAATAGTGAAAAATCAATACTACTCACTTTTAACACTTGAGTTACTAGTGAAATTATATGCCATTAACTGAGTCATCATTATTTCAAAATACTGTTCAGTATCAACAGAAAGCCATTAGTAAATGATACAGTACTTTTGTGTGATGAATTTAAATGTGTTAGTCTCACATTTTATCCAGTATCATATCATCACTGTTTCTCCTACAGTACAACTAATACTACAGTCTGGATTCTAGGAGGTACAATGACCATGTCAAATTTGAAATGTGTTGAATGCATTGTTAACTGGTGGATCAAGACATTGTGTGAACTATTTTTGGCTGCTATTTTGTTCAGGTGATACTCCTTGTAAATGAAACCATAAAGGCTGGAAAGATCGTAACTTTGCAACACCATCTCAATCAATGCTGTGTAATTAATGACTGCGTTGATAATTATTTATCAGTATTCACCCTGTGCAAAAGCGAGCAGTATTTAAGGACAGCTGACTACAGATCATTTTATTCTCGGAGCTAAACAAAGTTAACCCTTTATCACCTGATACATGTAAATATTGATTTCCCGAATTCACTGCTTCCAGGATCATCGCAAACTACCTAAATAACAGAACTAGTCTACAATTTTTTAATTAGCTTAACACTATTCGCATGACTCAAGCTGTTTAGGTCACTAGTGGGAGCCAGTTTCTAGCAGTCCAGATGCTAAAGGGTTAATGAAAATTATATTTTCCATTTCCTAATTGCAATCCTTTTATTTCTCAGACATGTAACTAACTCCACACAAATATTTACTAGCAATATTGTTTATCAATTAACTAAATATCAACACATGCAAACATTCAATAACAATTATGGACAACAAATATAGATTTACTTTAAATATAAAATAAAATTTCTGTAATATCACATTTTTAAAATTTAATATTTTAAAAACTTTAACAAAGAACTATATATATTTACATAAAGCAAATAAACCATCACAGTACCTATTCACAGTCTTCTGGGGGGGGGGGGGGGTTATACAGTAACATTCATTATGAACACTTGAAAAAGAAATGAAGCAAAACAAATTTGGTGCAACCCTTGTCAACAATCTCCATAAGTTATTTGTGGAATATAATTGCATTCCATAGAATTGTGTTCTGTGTATTATTATGGTATCTATTCATTGCAATTATACCCTGGAAAGGATTCTAGGCATTCCATTTGAAACAATGAAGAATAGTCGCAGAACTTTAGTAAATTCAATTGTTATATCTAGGCATAGATTTGTGCCCAAATTTGAGATTCTCAAATTCTTATGTTTTATTATTTTTGTGTGTACTTCATTCTGTGAGTTTTTATAGAAACAGGGTGTGATTTTAAATCTCTTTTCAAATATTGTCAACTTTACATAAAATTTGTCTATGTACTAAACTCTTCATATCCGCCTTAAACTCTTTATCAATCTTAATATCTGTACATCAATCTTAAACTTTTTACATAAATCTTAAGTTTACATCAAATGCTCTTAAGTTTACATCAAATGCTCTACTTAAAACATTTTACATCAATACTAAACCCTTTACATGAATCTTAACTTAAACTCTTTGCATGACTTTTACTAATTAGTTTTTATAAAAATTATTTTTAACTCTTTAGAAAAAAGTAGACATTCTACAGACTTGAACTCTATACTATCTGAAAGTTATCTAGTTCAGCAGCCTTATGAATAAGTAAAATTTTAAAAATGTTAGCAATTCACAATTTTTGTTTAATAGAATATGGTCTCTTCTTTGCATGTGTTTACCTAATTATACAAATTATCCAAAAATATCAACAAATATTTTCCTATTATCTCCCTTCTAAAATCAATGTCAGATTTTTAACTTCTTTAATTTTGCCTTATTAAGAGTACAGTTATCAAGTTAAAACTCATTGAAAGTGTCACTATTTTGAAAGTGTATGTCTATCTCATCCTACAATTCTTATCTTGGCCCTGTTTCTTGAAATTTTAACTAAAGATAAAATCCAATTTTAGTAGATACGAAACTTGAATTTTGGTTGGCTTAGCACTAAAATCAATCTAATATTATCCAATCAAATTTCAAATTGCGTGAAACAGGCCCCTGATTTTCAATAACTTTATATTTTTTGGGAAATTGATCGCTATTAGTAATTGATCATTGAGAGTAGAATTTTAATATTTGGACTCGATTTTTTTTTTAAAACTTTTTTTTCTAAAAAGGGTCAAACTTTGAAATGAGATAAAATTTTGATGCTAACTGATTAATCGGGTTATTTAGTGCTTATTCTAAAAATTTTTTTTATCAAAATCGGTTTGTAAATAAATGTTCTGTGCAATTTCTTTAGTTTTGTCTTTAAAAAATGTTTGTCAATAATAGGAGTCAGCGATCAATTCTTTATTCAAGTAAAAATTCACCGAAGTGTCACCATTTTGAAAATGTAAGTAAATTTTTAAAATCTATCGTGTCCTACCATTCATATCCAATTGTCAATATCGTTATATATTTGCAAACTATTCACTATTATTAACTGATCGCTGAGAGTTGAATTTATATTTGACCTAGATTTCTTTAAACGTGACATCATAAAATTCAATTTTCTTAAAAAGAGTAGAACTCTGAAATCAACATCTGTCTGTGTAAACAAAGGTTCTGTGCAATTTAAAAAGAAAAACAATACACATTAATCTACTAGATATTTTAATTAATGTATAAGTGTGTGATTGTGTTTTGTATAAACACTATCAAACTTGTTTCAAGGGCAAGTTTAGTTAAATTCTTTACCAAAAAAAAAAAAAAAGTTTTATAAATGTGGAATTCATTTACAAGTAAGGATATCTTTGCCACAAATGTTTTTTGTGAACATCTTAAATTTTAGTTTTACCGGTAATTAAAATAAAATGCTTTCATATAATCATGAAAGAACAACAAACATATATGTATAATATTAATTCTTAAATAGCTAGGTTTAATATACATTAACCTCATTATATTCGTTTCCGTACATTAGGGCTTATTATCAGAGTAAGTAGCTCTATCAGGCAGTTTTATACTAGAATATTCATATATATCTCTTTGAAAGAATATGGTTGTCTACTGTAAATCTGTATGTAATAATCATATATTTAGCAAAAGGAATAAGGCAGGAAATGAACATACTAACCATTTTATGTTCTCAAAAAATTTAATATTGGTATTATAAATGCCAATATTATGGCCAGATATTTATTCACATACAATCCCCTTCTAAATTATCATTCCAAGGTGACATTAATAAACTTTCGACTTTTTACCACAACATGATCGATTAAAAATAACATTTTGAAACCAGCGGCTGCCAGGCAGGATACGCCCACATTTTCGAGAGATGGATAGAAAACAAGCTAAAACGAAACTGATTTTTCCTACAATCAAGGGCCATAATTCAGGAAATTACAATTCGATATGCGCAAATATCGAAAGGAACCAAGATCTTTGAGTTATAAACTTACATTTCAAGTTTCAACAAAATTGGATAAAAATTGTGACCTCTATAGGGTCCACAACCTTGATATACCGAAATTTGAACTCAGTCGTCCTTAGAGTGTAACGGTGATATAATAATACATTTTTTTTAAATCGGATAAAAATTATGACCTCTATAGGGTCCAAAAGCTAAAAACGCGATTTTTCGTACAATCAGGGGCCATAATTCAGTAAGTTACGGTCCGATATGCGTGAATATCGAAAGGAACCAAGATCTTTGGGTTATAAACTTACATTTCAAGTTTCAACAAAATCGGATAAAAATTGTAACCTCTGATATACAATATTTTTACGCTATTTGAGAACGAAGGGCGGCCATTTTATCTGTCAGTTTTTGGCCGATTTTCACGAAATTCGAACTCAGTCGTCCTTAGGGTGTAACGGTGATATAATAATATGATTTTTTCAAATCGGATAATAATTATGACCTCTATAGGGTCCACAAGCTAAAAACGTGATTTTTCGTACAATCAGGGGCCATAATTCAGGAAGTTACGGTCCCATATGGTCGAATATCGAAAGGAACCGAGATCTTTGGGTTATAAACTTACATTTCAAGTTTCAACAAAATCGGATAAAAATTGTGACCTCTATAGGGTCCACAACCTTGATATACCATATTTTTACGCTATTTGAGAACGAACGACGGCCATTTTGTCTGTCAGTTTTGGGCCGATTTTCACGAAATTTAAACTCAGCCGTCCTTATGGTGTTATGGTGATATATTAACACGGTTTTTGAAATCGGATAAAAATTATGACCTCTATAGGGTCCACAAGCCAAAAAACGCGTTTTTGCGTACATTCAGGGGCCATAATTCATGAAGTTACAGTCCGATATGCGCGAATATCTAAAGGAATCAAGATCTTTGTATTCTAAACTTACATTTCAAGTTTCAACAAAATCGGATAAAAATTGTGACCTCTAAAGGGTCCACAACCTTGATATACCATATTTTTAGGCTATTTGGGAACGAACGGCAGCCATTTTGTCTGTCAGTTTTCGGCCGATTTTCACGAAATTCAAACTAAGCCGTCCTTATGGTGTTACGGTGATATATTAACACGGTTTTTGAAATCGGATAAAAATTATGACCTCTATAGGGTCCACAAGCCAAAAAACGCGTTTTTGCGTACATTCAGGGGCCATAATTCATGAAGTTACAGTCCGATATGCGCGAATATCGAAAGGAATCAAGATCTTTGTGTTTTAAACTTACATTTCAAGTTTCAACAAAATCGGATAAAAATTGTGACCTCTATAGGGTCCACAACCTTGATATACAATATTTTTACGCTATTTGGGAACGAACGGCAGCCATTTTGTCTGTCAGTTTTAGGCCGATTTTCACGAAATTCGAACTCAACCGTCCTTAGGGTTTAACGGTGATATAATAATACGTTTTTTTAAATCGGATAAAAATTATGACCTCTATAGGGTCCACAAGCCAAAAATCGTGTTTTTACGTACAATCAGGGGCCATAATTCAGGAAGTTACGGTCCGATATGCGCGAATATCGAAAGGAACCGAGATCTTTGGGTTATAAACTTACATTTCAAGTTTCAACAAAATCGAATAAAACTTGTGACCTCTACAGTGTTCACAAGCCAAAAACGTGATTTTTTCGTACAATCAGGGGCCATAATCCATGAAATTACGGTTCGATAGATGCCAATATCGAAAGGAACCGAGATCTTAAGGTGATAAACTTATATTTCAAGTTTCATTGAAATTGGATAAAAATTGTGACCTGTAGACTGTTCACAAACAATTGTGGACGGACGGACGGACAGGGGCGACGACAATATACGTCCACATGAAAATGTGGCCGTATAAAAATTATGTTATACTTTAAGACTTTTTTCACTGAATACTGGTAAAAAAAAAAAAGCTGTTTCAACAAAGCATATTCCTTTATTTCAAGGCGAGTTGCATGTTCTTGCACCTGAATTAAAAATTTTAACTTTTTCCCCCTCTTGAGTAGGACTCTTTATTATGTCCCTAAATACAAACAATTATCACAATAAAGAATTTATATTTACTGAGTATATAAATTGTATTATTGATGTGTTGGCTACTATTATAACTAGTGCTCAATATTCTGGAAGATGTTGGGGATTTCTAAAACTGAGATCATTAAAATGCTATTGTTCTACTGTACACTAAATCTTAACTGTCAGGTTGCAGTCCTGAAGATTAAGTTCAGCTTTTGTCAAAACTGTAAATAGTCAAACTTTATCAATGATGTTAGTCTGCATCAACTAGTAGTTACATATATTTGATAAAATCAAGATTCACATTGTGTTCAGTAAACACACAACAGATATAATAATAAAATTTTTCACAAATAAAATTAAAAAGTATGTATTGTAAATTTGATTTTAAACTAATTATTTTGGTAAAATAAAAATAACATGCAAAATTCCATTGGAATTAATTTTTATGAATTATGCCTGTGTACAAAATACATACAATTGAACACACATTAAAAATAATTTTACAAAAAACTTTCTATATATTTGGCAGATAAACATTGTTTCTAATAAGGCAATCTCAATTATTTTTCTCTTTGACTTCCTCTGCTCCAACCAGAAATTTATTGTAAAATGACTATACAACTGGATATATGATAAAGTTGAAAACACAGGGTATTATATATAATTTAACATACAAGAAATAAAAATTTCAGTAAATATACACAAATATAACACACTAATAATAAAAAGGGTTGTAACTCTTAAAATATTCTAGGAAAAACAAAATTATTCATTATCAACAATTTCATGACCACCAAAATCATACATTACATACCGACAAATCTTTAAAATAGAAAAAATTGATTCGTTCAAATGCCACATATACAAGACAAAGAGGAAATATAGTTCTATTCTAGACATATACAGAAACAAATATTGCTGAAGAAATACAAACAAAATATTTTAAATATTGAAATGATAACAAATTCTTAAAACATTTCAATCAGAAGAACGTATTTTGATCTTAGGTTTTATTTATAATGGAAGCATTGGTCTATTATTATTTTAATACATTTCAATAGAGTTTATATATGATTAGTTTTTAAGTAAATTTTTTACTTTTTTTAATGTTTTGGCTACTGTTAGGCATAACTACTCAAAGACTGGTTTTAATTTTAAAATTTGATAAGCAATCGTTCTTTTAATCTATTTGGCAGTGGATAACCAAAATAACTCTTGCCAAGATAAGCCTATTCATCTATTATGTTAAATTGTATATAAATAAATTACTGGTGTAACAAATAATCTATACACAACTGTGTATTTAGTTTGAGAATTAAATGCAGAGCAATTAAATTATATTGCTATTAGAATTAAGCTTATATAAAAGATAATTTATCAATTTTGTACACATTACCGGTATCACTAATGACCAGAGTCTGGACACCAGACTACTACCTTAACTATCAATTTTTCGAATCCAGATTTTGACAAGAGCTAAGTTTTCATAAAGATGTCTATTTAGTATAACCATGGTCGATAACATGATTACTACCCTTTACTTAACACAAGCAGGGAGGTGTGTCTCTGTAATGCATTAGTGATTGCCTACGCCTGTCAATGTACTTTGTACTAATGTTAAAAATCTCATCAATTTATTCAGCTGTAACAAATGCATATGTGCACAATATTTCTTATTACTTCTTCTTCTTTCTAACTTTGTTCAAACCATTAACCTTATCATTTTTAATGAAGGTTGTAATAAGCCAATTGCAACCCACATTTTGAAGAATAAATGACAATAATTTTAATTATAACCTATGTACAACAAATTAAGCACACTCACATACAGTACCCTTGAATATCAAGAACTAGATATGTCTGATTTCCTCCATTGCAACTGATCTATATACTAGTTGTCAAGGTGTTATTATACAGTACATAGCTAAATATAACAATAACTAAAGTAGGATAAATTCTCTAGAAACTTAGTTTTTGACATCTGAGTGATCATAATCAAAGGCCTTGGCTCCTAAACAGATACTTTGTAATTCTTCCATCAGGGTTTCATAACGATAGGCAACACGAACATCAGGAATATTAGTTCTTGTGACATCATTTCCTGCCACACCTTCTTTAGTATAGTTTGGACCCAGCCAATGCTGTTTTACCTATAACATAATCAGATTTCTTGACTAAAATATATTCTTTACTGACAAAAATAATTCTCTTTTATGAGGAGAAAAAACAATGTAAAAGATACAGTTATTTTAAAGATAGACTGCCAGCCCAACGAAATATATGACCAAAGCAGCTACTTCATCTGAGCAGTAAAAGGATCTAAAATCTTTAGAACTATCATTTGAGCACTGAAGATTCTATGTAATGTCTCTAGAAATAATTATGAGAAAACTTGTTTTAATTTAATTATTATTATCACTATTTTTGAAACTGCATAATTATTAAACAAATATATGTTAAATACAAAGATTCACCTCGTGTGGAAATCCACTCTGTAAAACACTATTGGCAGCTATTTCACACATATCACAAGAACTTAACTTCCATACCTGTACAGCTATACTATATTCTTCCATTAACGGTTCCTATAAAAACAACAATATCATATCAATAGACTAAACAATAGATACATGGTTCCTACTATAATAAAAATATCATATCAGTAAACTAAACAATAGATATTTTTGTTCCCTTTTCACTCTATTTCCTTTATACTTACATTACAGAAAGGTTAAAGTTTATATTCCATTTAACTCACTTAACAATAGTTTAAACCACAGTGGCTTAAATCAGGCTTCAAAGAGAACAGATAACCAGTAAAAAAGTATGGTAGTTAGATTTTATATAGAGCACACAATAAAGAAATAAAGAACCATATTGACTAGATTGTCCTTTATTCTCTCTCAAAAATAGGAATCTTCATCTTACCTTTGTAAAATGAAACTGCATGGGATCATCAGTAGATAAGGAAACATTTAACCCTCTAGCAAAATATTCTGGTAATGGATTCCGATGATAATTTAGGAAGAGAGAATTATTACTAAGTGGGGACATGGCGATACCAACTTTAGCTAAGTAATAGAGATACTGTAACACAGGAACCTGTAACAAAAAAAAAACAAACCCAAATATGAGCAAATTTTCCCTAAAAGGCCAATTTGATTTTGGTCTTTTAAAAAAATAAAACAAATCAATTAAAATAATTTTCCAATCTCAGTCACCGCTAGTAGACAATTTCAGAAGAAAACTTTATTTTTGGTGAATATTCATGTAAATGTATATGAACTATGCAACATTTTTATTTTATCATTATAGGTAGTTGCTTCATAAATGTATATTTCTTGGCAAATTCTTTTAAAGATTGTATGGTCTTACCTTACGTAGAACTAGACCATGTGATATACTTTCCGCTAACATAAAACCGGCCACTAGATGAGTTACATTTCCTGCTTCACCACAATGGGGTCGTAATGTGAAAGTAGGAAAACCTCTTTCCCTAGATAAAATATATACTAAACTATATGAAATGTCTAATATTAACATCTTACAATACAGAACATGGTTTTTGAGAGATATTTTTAAAATAAATTTTTCTGTTTGTTAATTTCTCCATTTGGACACATAAATAATAGTAAATAATTTTGTTGTTCATAAGGATAATAATTGGTAATAGTCCTCAAATTAATACTGATACATGTTGATGATGGAAAATTATATTTACATGTACCTACCTTCTAAAATGATTAAGTACTGTGATGTTAGCATACATATAATACAGATAATATGTATAAGGGGGATTAATATCCATGTTCCAATCTTCTGGTTGTGGAGATTTTGTATCAAACTGGATGTGTTCAGATTTAGATTCATCATCTACAGAATCAAATCCAGATACCTACAAAATCCAAATAATAAGTTTACATGGTACATTTAAGTTTAACATAAGATCTACACAAAGCAAGGCAAAGATTGACTTATCATTACAAATTACCTCGAATGAACTCTTTATGTCAAAAGAAATGATATAACCCCATCCACAGAACATGATATAAACAGTTTAAATAATCTCTTAAATCAAACACACTTATCAATGCTGATTTATCACATTCTTTTTATTTAGCAATGGTCTATATCTTAATGGTTTATGTTTTACAGTAGATTTGAATATCCACTGTTTTAAAAGTGTTAGCCCTAATAAAATTGAAAATTTCAGTCCAATTACTCCATTCTGAGCCGAGTTATAGCGGATACAAATCACAATTACAGTGTCATTGTTACTGCTGTTGTTACGATAATAAACAAAGTCTCGATTATCCATTTCTACGTTACATCATCAACTGCAAATCATATTTAAATCTATTGATAATCTAGAGTATCTGATGGCATCAAAAGATGATTATTTTCTTGGAAAGTTAATTAATAATTCATATAACAATTAATGCATAAAGAATTACCCGCTATAGGAAGATTTAGCTCTTGCATAATGCCTATTAAACAATTGTCACAGGGAACAATAGGTCTTCTAGTCCAGTGTATGAAGTAAATAACTAAATTCAATCCCCAGATGATAATTCCTAAGCAGTGGTTACAAGCATTATCAGTTAAACACCATTGCATTTAATTTCACCATTACTGATTAATCTGAACTGTAAGGTAGGCTATCCATTACAGCAGGCAACCTCTAGGAACTGTACCTATTTACGACTACTTTGATTGGCCTATCAGAAAACCTAGTAATTAATACAAAAAATACAAAAAATACATATATTTGCAATTAAGCAGATAATGCTCATTACACTTGTTTTGTGAATATGTCCTTCAACAAAAACTTACATGTTGTAAGAAGGAGTGTAGTTCTGGATGAGTGCTAGGATCGTTGGTGACTTCAAACAATGGTAGAAATATATTCTCTAATAAATCTTGAAAACAGTTCACTAATTTATTACTCTTATAAACATCACTGAAATTAACAATCACATTTTTCATAGGGTTTTCATACGTTTGTCATAAAATCAAATCAGTAGAAAAAGTATAATAACATTCGGTCAATTTTAAGCCAAAAGTGAGTAACATCAACAAAAACTATGAGCTATTCTGGCAACTGGGGTCAGATTATAATATAATGTCTTCATCTACAATATATAACCATTTCCTAAACCACTTTATCTTGTGTTTTATAAATAGTACATTTTTTTAGCAAAAACTTCTTTAAAAACTTATCACTTTCACCAATAAATATTTCTAATTTTATATTTTATATTCAAATTTACCCTAGATTAACATAATTTTCAGAAACTAAGAGTGAAGCCTTTTGGGCAAGCATTTGTTGAGCACTTTATAAAATGTGTACAAATCTTTACTGAATCATAAACAAGCCATTTTCCTGCAAGAGATTTTGCGAGAGATTGATAGAGAACAAAATAAACAGAAATGCAATTTTTCGTACATTAAAGTGCCATAATCCAGAAAGTTAGGGTTCGATTAGCGCAGATATAGAAAGGATCCAAGAGCTTTGGGATATAAACATATATTCTAAGTTTCATCAAAATCAGATCAAAATTGTGACCTCTAGAGGGTCCCTATGATAAAATCACGATTTTTCGTACAATCAGGGGCCATAACCGGAGGTCCCGGAGAAAACCCACAAGGTTGGACAGGCGACCCTACTACTTGTCACGTACAACCGGGGAATCAAAACCATGCCAGTTGACTCAATGAAAAGGGATATAAACATACATTTCAAGTATGGTCAAAATCTACATATTGTGACCTGTAGAGTGTCCAGTGACGACATTATACGTCCACATGAAAATGTGGACGTATAAACTTCATATTCTAATGATGAACACCAAATCTCCAGTCAAAAGGCAAAACCTAGTAACTCACTTTTTTCTTATTTTGAGAAAACAAAGGAAAACGTAATGAATGAATATTAAACGCCATCTCATCCATTGATTTGACTATTGAGTTACTAGGTTTTGCTGTGGTATACTAGGCAAATGAAGGAAGTTGCTAGGTTGTGTCATGGGTGTAAGTGCTTACAAAATCAAAAGATTGGAATATCTAGTACAACAACAGGAGGCACATACCCTAGTAACTGCAAATTTGGTCCTAACTCAATTTTGATAAAAAAGTAAGTTACTAGGTTTTGCCTTTTGACGGGAGAAATGAGTGCACCTCTTTATGCATAGATTTCTCGAAACTCGTAGTTAGGATCTATAAGGATAATGTTACTGCTAGATCATGTCTACTGCATTAATTATTACAAAACATCACTTTTGCAGCTAAATTGTTCTTGAGAATAGATGAACCAGCCAAACAATAGTCGCCAATCAATGAAGTTAGTATAGGAAACAATCGATAGGTTCATTTAGGTTATGGAAGCAAAAATACACCAATAATTACTTATAATAGTGTAAGTTGCTCCTACACACACTATCAGGCAAAAGACGGTCTACTAATACTCAAGTTGATTGGCTCCATTCACTCAAGTTCCAGTTATCAGACATTCTTTAAAGAGAAATCAGATGTTTCTTGCTACTTACTATAACCGTGGAATCTGAATCAACCATCGAACATTATCCGAATATACTTTATGATTGACAGCCCATTTAGCTAATTTATCCCATTCATCTCGAGATCGACCATATATAGATAAACGATATTCAGCATTCTGATATTTACTTTCTTCTAAATCACTCATTACTTCCTGTAATACAAATAAACATGAAATGAAATGACTACAATACAGATCTGTCTTATTCAAAAGTAGGTACATGTACTATTACCAGTACTATTATTGTCATTATGTAATAATAATAATGTATCTTAAAATTCCCCCTTGTCAGTAAATTTTTTTATTGCTAAAACAAAAGTGTCAACTCAAATCACTAGATGCCAGGGAGAAAGATACATGGGGTTTAACGTCCACTTGACACAAACTAGGTCATTTTGGGACTGACATATGGTTCAATTTGTATTTCAACAATTCGGTTGGCTATAGGGGTCTTCAGCAGTGGGAGGAAACCATAGGACCTTGAGAAAACCCCACGAGGTTGGACAGGTGATCCTACTCCTTGTCACGTACAACCGGGAAATTGAAACCACACCATTTGACTCAATGACAGACTTTATGATACAGTGCGCATGCACTAACCATTTGACCATTCAACACCCCAGATGCCAAAGGTATATGGGACAGAAAAGTTTGGGAGCCCTAATGAGGAGAAAAGGTGTACATTTGACAAAAAAAAAAAGATGCCCATGCTCCAAACAATTTTATTATACACACATCTGTATAGACACCCCAAAACTGTTAAGAAACATCCGAATTCGCTCATTTATGGGGCCACTATCGAACTCAATTTGGATCAAGCAAATTCATTTAAAAAATTCTAAATTATCACACTGCCCAAACAATATCTGAATCCATCAAGGAAAATAAATCAAAATTATTTAATTTGTCTTGTTGACCCTAAAGGTTAAATATGACATGTGCCATTTCGTTGTTTTTTCTAAGTTAGCATACATAATATTACCTTAAGAATATGTGCGAAATATCTGCCACCAATGTAGTTATCTGTTTTAATAAATATTTCTCGTAGACGACTTTCCCCAATGGGATTATATTTGGCATTAAACTTATCAAATCTATGAAATGTATTTCTATCCTGAAATTAAAAAAAAAAGGATTTCACATATTCAAGAAAATTTCTTCCTTATTTGGAAGAAATCAAGTTTAGTTGCTACGGTATTCAAAGAATAGGATACAGCATATCACATTAATTCCAATACACATTCACATATTTCCTCTCTTCTCTAGTTAGATTATTTTCACTATGTATTAAAGATGGGTTCCCAGAAAAGTATTTATCGGGTGGTTATTTCCAATAAAAGTTTGGTAATTTTGGTATATATGGAAAGTAGAGATATCCAATCTTACTAGAAAAATACTGGATTCCCCGAAAAACACTCATGGAGCGTATACAGGACAGAAATGCAAGGGTTTCCCTAATCAACAGCTCGACGATTAGGAATTTCTGCACGCGTGATGTCAAAGGTCACATGCGAACATTGAGCGCTTGATGTACAAGTTGATAAACTTTATGAAGAGTTAGACGTACAACACTTTCTGAGATAAAAATGACGGAAAAAGACACGCGTAGTGGATAATCCGAGAATTTAATTAGGATTCGATATTTGTAATAAATAGTAAGCGATTAAAGACAACATCATCTTATGTATGCAATGAATTCTCCTCTGACTTCCAAGAGAGGTAAGTCACCTGACGTAAACATGACCTGGTTTGATCAAATTTTTATAGCAGGACATTCCATTGCAATTACAATGTTTGAGAAGGATTTGAAGCAAATTTATGACAAATTAATTAGTTTGAATATGTTTTTAGTCCATATGTACCATTAAATCACCCAGTTTGTACGGGGGAACCCATCTTTAATATCTTGTTCTACAGTATTTATTAGTGCTCCTACGGTTAGGACTTTTTGTTATTCGAATAGCCATAGCTATTAACCGGTTAGTAACCGTTAACCGTATGGTATCAATTTTAAACATAAAACAGAGCTTGTCAGGAGGTGCGAGTCATTACTCGTGCGCATGCTATACTCGCCTAAAAGGCATTACACGCGCAAAAATTTCAGGAATTCTTTAATGAAAATTTAAACTATCTAAGGCCGTAGTTATTTATTTACCTGGTTAACTTGGTTCATTTGAAACATTTTTTAATTCAATATATATCTACGATAATATACAAAACAATAGGCACTACTCTGTTTCCCTTCGTACGTGACAGATGGCGATAATATATTACGATTACACAATGTTACTAAGAATAGAATAAAGTAAATTGGAAGACTTCTATTGATTGGACAATAAAGAATTAATTCCTCGCTTGCAAGTAGAATTTTTATGATTGGTTAATTTAACTAAAACCCAAAGTAGAATTCTTGCGAGAAATTACGAGTTATGAAACGTGTTGAATGTCGTAGTAACGAATCTAGTATAATGTCATTTTCTATCCTTTATGATTATATTCTGAATGGTGGTTACGTTTTTAAGTAAATAATAAACCACATATAATATTCATTGTTGACAAGTTATTTTGTGGAGATACATGTAAAACACAAGCAGGTCTGGAATTTTATTTGGACAGAACATTGTCAATGTTATGAGAGACCCATCAAAATATAAATATTATATACCATAGTTTATTTTCACCAAAATAAAAACTGACAAACTAGATTCAACATTTTAGTCTAGCATACCCCAGTAATTCAAGATATACTTAAACTGATTTATATATAAATTGACTTAGTTTTAGATAATAACACAGACAGGCCAAATAACTTGCTAAATTAAGTAAATAATAAACAAGGTAGAATATAGTTAGAAATGCCGAGAAGTATTTAGATTGGATTAACATTAGCTAAAGTCAGGACAAGGTCCGTTGACTTTGCCGTATGACTACGACGAGTGCTATTAATAGTATCATTGTTTAGCAGTTGACATCGTAGGACGACTGTTACATTCTAAGATTTTCAAACATCAAATACAAAATGACAACGGGCAAGTTTTGTTATAAAGAGGAATATAATCAAACACAACTCTATGTAATGGGGGACATCTCCAAATAACCGTACCGTTGAATTCGAACCATTTAACCGTCCAGTTCTAACCGTTTACGGCTATCCGACTAGTCGTAGCAGCACTAGTATTTATTAAATCATTTACTTCCATGCAATGCTAACAAAAATAACGTAAGAAAATTGAACTTACTGCATGAACATCTAACACATCAACACTCAAATCATATGTTGTCATATTAAAACTCTGGAAAACCTGAAACAGTCAAAATTCATCAACGTAAATGTATTTCACATTGCCTGTTCACCATTAATGATTACTACTGACGTTATCTGCTAGCAGGGTACTACTTCCACTTATGATATATTCTTTAAAAGTCACACTGAATTCTGTATATCATTTTCGTTTAAATTCTTACAGTGGTCTTTTTCAAAATCATCTATAAACTCCTAGATTTGGATTATTTATCTGAGTGACATCATTGTGATGATATATTTGATATCAAACAAGGACTTGGATGACATTCTCCATTAATTAATGAAAATAAATTTTCTTTAACAAAAATGGAGTCTTTAATATTCATTTTTCTTATGAGATATCCATTTTTTTTAGTGTTTATGCTATTGTAATGGTTATCACCTAAATAATATATGTATAGAAGATATTCACAGTTTACCTCCTCTAAAGTCATCTCTTTATTTTCTCTAGTCTTACACACTACAACCTTGGGTTCCATTTTCATCTTCTTTTTAATAAATCGTAGAAGATGTTTTTGATTCATACAAGATGAAGCATGGACGTGAGTATCAACCTAAAAATAGGTGTTAAAATATTTATTAACTGGAATATATGTAAAAAAGAAAACAGAATAAAATTAACAAAAGTCGAAAAAGGATGACTTTCTTCGTCTCACCTATAGCATCATGAAATACTACAAGAGGCGATTTCTCAAATAAAGACTTGTACAACGATGATTCTCTTGTTTTTAAAACCACATATAATATTCATTGTTGACAAGTTATTTTGTGGAGATAAAACACAAACAGGTCTGGAATTTTATTTGGACAGAACATTGTCAATGTTATGAGAGACCCGTCAAAATATAAATATTATATACCATAGTTTATTTTCACCAAAATAAAAACTGACAAACTAGATTCAACATTTTAGTCTAGCATACCCCAGTAATTCAAGATATACTAAAACTGATTTATATATAAATTGACTTAGTTTTAGATAATAACACAGACAGGCCAAATAACTTGCTAAATAAAGGCTTGTTATATATTTGTGCATTTTAGTATTGTTATGCTAGAATAAAATGTTGAATTCGGTTTGACAACTTGTTTTATAATAATATAATGTTCTATTCACTAATTAATGATTCGACTTTGTAAATGTTTATAAGTGTAAATAATTATACCATTAACAACAGCTGTCTTCATATTATTTAACAATGACCAGATATCTATATAAAGAATTAGACAAATTCCATTAAAAATCTATTTTAAATTTACCTTTCTAATATTGTAAAAGTCACGATGAGGAACTTCTTTCTGTAGTGCAGATTCTTTTAACTCATTCACTAATAAATGGAGTTGGTATTTGGCGGACAGATACGACAATCGACGATAACAGAACGATTTCCTGAAACAAAATATTTGAAGTTATGGTTTTAATGTCCATCTGTTAAAAATGGTGAACCCTTGAGAATATTTACAATTCATTTCAAAGGTTGAATCGATACAGAGGAAATGTATAAAAGATAAACAGCTCGCCAACGAAACATACGCCAAAAGCAGCTACGCCGTCCTAGAAGATCACGGAGTTATCTTATGTATTATTTCTCTGTCGGTAATGAAAGCATTACAAGACACTAAAAACTGATTAAGAGGCAGATAGAACCATTAAGTAAGTATATTTAGGATTTGTTTACCCCCGCCTCCTTTGCTAAAACTTTGGTCTCTTACATCATAGTTACAATCTGATATTTCGTTTCCTTTATTGCACTTTCATTGGCCTGCAATACATGGAGATCTGACAGGTTGTAGTGGGGGAATCGTGTCAGGGGTCATGCTAGCAGCTTGTGACCCTATACCGTCAACCCACAGTTCCCCATCTCAGACAATAAGAACTCGACGCAACAGACCATTTGCTTGGTTTATCCCTCACATTAACCAGAACGCGGGTTATTTAACAACTCTAGCAAACAAGTAAAATGATATTTTAAACTACAAAAAACATAACGAATTAGGATCTGTGTTTTAATCAGATTAGATCTCTTTGAGCATTCACAAGATTTTTCAAAGTGATCAATGGCCATAACTCTGGCAGTAAGTATTTGAAAATCTATAGGCTTCATGACCATAAACACTGTACATCAATAGTTTTCGTCTCATCATCTTAACACTATGTATAAATTTGAAGTCAATCGGATATTTACTTTAGCCTTTAGAACGCCCAAAAGCAATTGTGGATGCCAGACGGATTGACAGACAGGGGCGAAGACATCTGACCAGATTTCAATGTTGGCATATAAAAAGATTGGACAAGCCATTTTACTTACAATGGACCATCACTTATAAAGGCATACATTAAATTTTGATCTGCTAAGAAAGATTTTAAATCAACATAAGGTAGATCAATTGGCTGTTGTTTCTGTAATGATTCCTCATCTTTATACACATACACAACACCTTGTTTCATTTTCAGTTTACAATGCACACTTTCCACAAACTGAAAACTGAATGGATCCCCAGACATCGGAGGAGCATGGATTGGGTGATCTGAAAAAGATAACATTACCAGTTATTATTTAACAAATACTCCACTACCACTGATCTAAAAAAAATCTAAAAATTTGCTTTAAACTTTAAAATTGCTTTTAATTATAAAGACTTTAATATAAAAATTAAAATAAATATACACAATTATTATTAAATTGTCAGAAATTTGTATTTTTCATTACTTTTCATAAACTTAAAATCATTTGATAATGAAAAATTTAAATGAATTTAACAAATCAGGGCAAACTCAAAGAATAAAAACGATATAAAAAATCTATATCTACATTCACTGCAAAAACTGGCTAAAAGAATTCAATTTAAATCTACAATCTAGCACTACTTTTTTTCCTGAATTCATTTGTCATTGACAAGAGCAACAGTAAAGATAAAATAAATACAAGCTTCCAATTTCAGCAATTATTATTGATTTACTAAATCTGCCTATATATTAAGACAAACAAAAGATTTGTTCAATAAATAGACACAGCAGAAATAGAATTGTGTGGCCTGTTTTAAGAATATATTTTTTTGTCTTGCATAGTAAATAAAAAATCTGAAATGTGAACATAGATGGATTATTTTACAAATCCTTATACATATAGATAGATAAATGTAATACAAATAGGTGGCAGTACATATCGTAATACCAGTTTAGCATGAATGTTGTACATTGCCTATATTTTTCTAAACGGGCAAATACAACAAAACAAGAGTAGTTATAAATGAAAAGTAGTACTAATAGGTGTTCTTAAAAGGGTTACCAAGCCCTTTCATATGTATGACACCCATTACTACATGTACAGGTGTTGTAGGAATGCTCTGAACTTGGATTTCAGAAGTCAAACTACTTGGTAGCAGTTAACCTGGGGGCAACAATCACCCAGATGTTACTACATGTCGTTAAGTTATTTAAATAGAAACAGTTTCAAAGTTGTTTAAGCAGAAAATGGTAGATCTATCTTCATAAAATGCTTAGCTTATTCTTTGAAACTCAGGCCTTTCAGATAAACATGCCAGAAATTTTCCAAGGGTTGTTGATGTTTCAAATACATTGTAGTACGGTACATTGAATGTACTTTATTCTCAATAGATATTAAAAGAGCCCAAACATGTGATATTTAAGGGGGATTGGGATTTTGTAGCAGGAAAAACCCAGTAACCAGAAAACTGAAGATTTGGTTATCATGCAATCTGTGGCTCACCATTATGCTAAATAAATAATTGCCCATTGTCCAGTATATATATTTTTAACATCTTGAATTTCTTACAATATTTATTACCCATCATGTGCCTACAACTAATAATTATTTCAGAAAGTTGAATATATTTTTTCTGAGCCTGGTAGAAAATAATAATGTAATTTTTATATGCTATTTCTAATGTATTTTCTATATTCATAGCAATAAGCAACAAATTTTTTCAGCAGTAAAAAAGGGAGATGAGAAAGAGTGGATCTGTAAGCAGGTCACATGACAATTTGCTCCAATAAAACAAATTTAACAAGAAAAAAGGAAAGCGTCAGATATCTTTTAGTCTAATAATATTGAAATCATAACCTTATGGAAGTCAAATGCATACTTTTGGACTTTGACTTTATATTGAAATTTAAAATTGCTTTTATTTACACTTAAGTAAATAAAAGCATACACTGCATTGCAACGAAACATACACCCCACATCAGTCAAGATGTCCTAGCATTCCACAAAGTCAGTTGCTTTGTGACGCTACATTACTGAGAATGTTGTTTACCATGGTGATATGATGATGATTACTATCTATGCCTTTAATCTTATCAAGCTAAATTGTTGATACATTTTCCTCAAAATCTATTTTGATGAATTGTAGATGACACATCGGCAGACAGGGGCTGATGACAGTGCACAGTATTAAATTTTAATCAAAATTAGAAATGATTTCGAATTTTAAAAAAAGGAATGCTTATAAAGGGCATTCATTTTCCCTTCATTAAAGTAGCAACATTGTTTTCAATCCCTATACCTCAAATCATGTCAAATCTTTGCATAGTGTCAAAATATAATATATTATGGCCATTTACAGCTTACTGTATCCATAATAAATTTTCAAATAAGTAATTTAAAACCCCACTTTTTAAATTAGTTTGCAACCATTTGCTTACATCTAATCATATAACAGGGCATGAAATGCTACAGTTTCTAAATCAATATGTATATTCAGCAATTAGTATAATTAAAGGCTGATTAATGACAGTAAATTATACCAACTGACATAAGCTTAATAATGCCACTTTAATGAATCAGCTTTACAAACTCCATTCAAATAAACAGCCACCTTCATATTCTTATACATGTATATTTAATAATTTATGACTACATTAAACATTATTAATTACATTCTGAAATGATAAATATAGTTTCCTAACACCATTAATCAATTAGTGCGATTATATTAATAAGAAACACACAATAGAACATTATTTTATTAGTGGGTTAACAATTAATGGTAAAATATGAAATCATGAAAGGAGCTAATTGTCATGTAACCATGATACTATTCCCACCTTTAAGGCTCACACGATTAAATGTCTGCTGTCCACTTTCTGAAATATAACATATCATCAGCTCTATGATGTACCATTTGGTAAGCAAATGTGAATGGATACAAAAATTAACAAAATTTTTAACCAGTGTGGTGTGTTTGGATGATTTTAAAGGAGTTGCTCCATCTATTTCTGAAAACCTGGCAAGCGAAGATGAGCATACGCTAATGAGTGTGCTTATTACTCTTGATCAAATTCCAACTGTCAAAGATTCTTTTACAAGCACGCCAATGATTATACTGGCTAACTCACTCTTTTGCCACTGACAAAGGCAAACTAGGGACTTTCGAAACCAAGATCTTGTTAGTGAACCATCAACCAAATCATTTAATATCAAAATGGATAATCAAAAGTTAGTCTTGGTTTTCAAGTACTGTTGCTATCCTACATCGTCAAACAGTCATAAAATTGCCCAGAATAAAATAAAGTAATTTGAATGAAACTTTCAACATATTCATTTTTTATTATCTATTTCTAAACTATTATAGCAAGAACAATCAGCTCTTTATATGAAGCTTACATTATGAATTTTTATTCAGAAGCTGAGTTATCATGTTCTAATATATTCAGTTTTTGTTATCTTTACCTAAATCTTACATAATGCATTTTAAATAAATAAAGAAATGTGTCACTGATGTAATCATTACTACAAGATTTAGTTTGTGTCAAATTAACTATAACTAATGTTTCTACCCTTTCAAATTGATGATCCTTATTTCTGCTTCTGAATGCATTCTTTTATTCAGTTTTCATTTGAATGAAAGCATCTAGAAAGTTGATTCTAGCAGCTGTCAAGATTTTCTATACAAAAAATAAGTGAATCATCTCCTTTAACAATAATAAGATGATGAATATTATGATAGTCCATTGGATGAAAATAATAATATTAAATACACAAAGCAGTAAAGTAGCAATGACAAATAATGATAATAATATTAATAAATGAAAAGAACAAATGATAATAACAATGATAATATTTGTTGTGAATTTCCCAGTCTATCAGTGATCATTATCCTGGGTTCGAAACCAGGTGTGAGCTAAGAAAAACTTTTAGGGGTTTGAAAAGCCTGGTTGATATTTTTCTGAGATGGAGCCTGTGTGTCTAGTTGTCATTGTTATAAAAACTGAGGTCCTATATAAACAAATTGATAGTACAGGTTAAAGATCACTTATGTGGAAGTAGACGTTAAACACCAAGAACGAACGAACGAACAGGTAAAAGATCTATCTGCAGTTAGGTTTTGAATAGTACTCCTTTAATCTTTTTTTTTTCATCTATCAGAAAATGTATATCAACCATTTACCTTGTAATTTAATACAATACAGCCACTGTTTAAATTATTTGTGTAACAGGTCTGTTTATTCAATCATTTGATCCACTTCACATATACGTATCGTCAAACTTTTCAATTTTTTAAGTATTAAATTTATTCTGTTCAAAAGGCTTATTTATTATTGAGTCAATATTTACATTTCTAACAAAGAATTCACTTTTTGTTTCATATCTGAAGATATCAGCAGTTGAAAGTTTTGACATATTTTGAAAGCCTGTATTTCCGTACCAACATATTTATTCAGCTTTATTATGCATTAACATGTCTGACAAAAATATTTTCAAAGTGATAAATTATTTTAATGTAGATTTGTATATATATTGTTGCAGTAAAACAATCAATCTTTTGAGTTTCCTTTTGAATGGTAACATCATTGATGTCAAGATACATGCAGCTTGAGTTGATATATTACTAGTTCACTTGAATCATTTTCAAGGATTATTTATAGTAAGACAGTATATAATGTAAGCCATATAAATATCACATTTCTTTGACTATATTTACACAATCTTTTAGAAATTATGACTGAATTAATAGAGGTGGAGTCTTATTACTTATTGACTTGTACCAGTATATTTATATAATAAATTATTTATACAATGGTAACTATCCTGATATATATACATCATTATTTTTCTTGACTAGAGAATGTCAAACAAATCACGTATCCTATTAGACTTCTGAAGCAAATGGGCTAACATTGGAATTTATTCTTACAGAAAAATTTCAAAATGTCTGACTTTGTAGAGAAAGAATAGAATAAGATGAATTTGACAGATAATATAGATCCTTGCCAAATCTCCTCTCCTCCCCCCCCCCCCCCCCAACATCCCTCAAACTCCTAAAAGCAATCCATGTTGACTGTGATTTGATTTTGTGACTATTGCTATCAATATATTTGCGATCATAAATACTTAGACGTCAATTGGAAAATATAATTTAAACTATTATGGAAAATATCTATACATGTATTTTACAAGATAGTTCAAAAGAACCTCAGTTTGCATTCTACAAATATTAAGATATATATATGGCTGCTATTATTTAGAACATTTGCAAGATAATGAATGGATGAGAACTGGGCCTGACATACATGTAGCAATGACAAGCATAGTGGTTGAAGCTCTCTAATAATTAACTTGTTTAATTTATTGTAGGCTTATTATTTAATTAGAGTATATTATTTCACTAGCAGTATTGCTGGCCATTCCATAAACCAGTATACATGTACTTTCAGATACACTATGTATTTTACTGGGGGCACATAATTTTCCAATTATTGTATTATGGGTCCAGTATGAAAGTTCTCTCGGTTTATCGGCGATTTTGAGAAATTACCTCAAACTGACAATTTTCTGAAAATAAAGCTACATCTTAATATTCTCTTTCAAAAATACAGGTTAGGGTCATGCCAAGAGGTGTGGCCATAAAAACCATGGTAATTACAAAACTGTGTTCACATGCAACATAAGGTGAAGGTGTCAATGATTAAAATCTGAGGAATGGTGTCCATATTAATATTGGAATCACAGCACCCCACCCATGGCATGACACACTTCAAAAAATCATTATTACATATTGGTTAATTTTTTGCCAAACAAATGTTATTCTTTCTACTACAGAAAAACACACAGTTAATTAAGAGTGGCAATTAATCAATCATTGAATAAGAGGAGTGACTAGAGACGACTGATCACCTCGGTGGTCATAATACATAACACCATCGTTGTCATCTTCTACTGTAAATATAGCCAGAAACACAAAAAAAATAAACAAATTCTAAAAATAATTGTGTTGTTAATAAAAATTGAGATCTTACAACAAAATGTAAGTCAATTAAAAAAAAAGAATAATACGAAAATAGTGTGACTACAGAACAAGTATGGAAACCATCTTAACAACCAGAACAGTAATTAGTAAATAAGCTACAAAGTATTTCTATAATTTTATGCAGTGCATTTATATATCTAAAGTAAAATTAGAACCAATCTCTCCAGCCCCCAAATCTGAATTGTACATTGTAACATTAGCACATAACTATTCGAAATATTGTTCATTAGTACTAGGGGAGATTGATATATATTTTGTGTCGCATTTCATTGTCAAAAGACAATGCCACCATCTACCAATATTATAACATGTGATAAGAATTGTTAAATGGATTCATAATATTCATCTTTGGTACAGTTGATCTGTAACAACAATTTGAATATTCTGGAAGCGACGCAAATAAAGTATATCAGTTAGTGTTACCAACTAAAGTATAGAATGGCAATAGCTACATCAGTGATTCTCAACCAGTGTGCCGCAAGATCTTCCTAAGTGTGTCGCGAAATTTTGAACGGCCACTAAGAAAATGTGAAAAACCATGTGATCCCAATTGAGTATTCACTGGTGTTTACTGATAAGTTCACAGCTGTGTTTTTCTTCACTTAGTTTGAGTCATTCTATGTGTCTATGACTAGTCTTTATCTACAGTAGTATTCCATCTGACTTACATGTACCATGTTTTTATTTTGAAAAATCCAAATATTTTTCATATATTTAGCGAGGTGTGCCGCTATTCTTACATGTGTTCCAAGGTGTGCCGTTGGTAAAAAAAGGTTGAGAACCACTGAGCTACATGTACAAACATGGAGGATATCAGTTCAAAACTGACAATATACATGTAAGAAAAACTCATTTTTTAAAAACAATATTTATAATTTTTTCTGGTATAGCCTAATCACATGATGTTTATTTATAGATAGAGAAACTATCCTACAACAGATCGCTATAGTTAAAATTACATTAGGAATGTGTTTAACCAGTTCTATCACATGTATGTAAAATTTGTGGATGGCAACATTGTCCTGTAATATGATGCATATTACACTGTCACTGAAAAACTGGACAGTTGAACAAAATACATCAGTGCTTAAAAACAGTTGATATCTATATTGTAAGCTTTCACCAAATGCAGTGAATTACACTAAAGTGTGGTAAAAGGTCATTGTTATAGGAGCCCATATGAGGGTTTCACCATAGGGCCATGTGGGGGCCCCAACTTCAGTGTTATAGTGTACGTATTTGGGGGGTATTAATTTCCATATTTCACATCACTGTGATGTACTTATAAGGCATGTTTTTGCCACCCAACTGATATCCTATGCCATTAAACCAATATAATACAGAAACAGACATTACATTAAGACATAGTGTTCATCTAGCAAAGCATTTAATCATTTCTGTTACACAGTAGTGATCAGCCAATTACAATGAAAATCATTCTATATCTACATATATATATATATATAAGGGTCAAATTGTTTGTATTAAATTGTATTCTTAGTTTTTACTTTAATACTAACAGTAAGTGCTCCATGCAACAAGAATGTTTGAAAACGAAAAGAAAGTATGTGTACATGTAGCTTCATCAAATCTAAGGGTTTAATTTACGCACCAAGCCACCACCCCATATGACTTAGAAAATATAACATAGCCTACAATAAATGTCTGATGACTGAAAAATATCCAAGCAAATGAGAATACATAGATCTTTGTACTTAAAATATTAATAAAGAACAGTCTATTTCTTGATCTAACCTGAAATGCTTTTCTTCTCTCCTGAGTAGTTGATTTTATTAAACTCTGCCTTGTCTTCTAAGCTTTGTAGAAATCTTGCTGTAACTTTAGGAAAGTACTGATTGGACACAGCCATATATTTTTCACGAATCATCAAAGCTTTCACAAGACTTTTAGAAGCTTCCTCTAAATCATTCAATGGTACCTATAATATATTTGATTAGCGAATTTAATTTCAAAGTTGCATTTACATGTATAATATTTCTGCGTTTAGAACAGGTCTTTTACATGTGCACATAAAACAGTGCTGGTAAGAGAATAAAGAAACCATGATTTGGTACTAACTAGCCTTATTGTAGCATCAAATGTACGGTCCAACAAATCTCTCCATGCAGTGTCCTGTACAAACTGGTTGGCATGTGACATCTTTAGATGGCAAGGAAATAATTGATACAGGTAGCTAATCTATGTACAGCTTTTGAAGATGATGCTTGTGGTAGTTATAATTAGTTTTAGCTTTCCTTATTTTTGCTGTACCAAAATATTTGGAAACCAAAAGAATTTCTTTACCCCACTAATCTCATTTCCATTTACAGAGATTCTCTGAAAAGCTGTCAAGAACTCAGCCTCCTCTTCTTCAGCATTGGCAAAGGCAACATCAATATGACCAATGCTCTGATGTCTAATAAGAGTCTCTCTTTCTACTGGTGATGGTGAGGGTGATAGAAGACTACCTCCATCGGCACCTTTACCTCCACTTCTGTTGTAATAAAAATATTTATATTTGATTAAATCAACAATCAACATATATATTTATTTATGGGCCAACGGTAAAATGCATTCTAATATTATGAGTATTTGCAAAGGTATTTCAAAATTAGGATATAAAGAAAGATTGGGACAGTAATAGAAGTAGAAACAAAATCAGCAATTATCTGCGGACACATGAACAACAGGTACAATTTTATGGATACACAGTTTCAACGAGGATACTCTCGTCTTTATCATATTGATGATGATGCGCTTATGGCTGCTCTCAGTTTTGTGTGTCTGTTCTATTTTACAAAGTTAAGCTATTAAATCATATTGCCTGTTTATAAAAGTGGTACCAGTGTGTTTCTCATGTAGCAGAGAATCTTATGATGCAGTTTTGTGGTAACGTTGTATTTTAACTTTGAAGAATTTGACAATTTTATATTATTTCAACTGATCAGCAATGGCAAGTCAAGCATGAAATCACTGACTGAGTTTAGGTCGTTACTAAATTTAGCAGTGTGTTTACAAGTTTCACTACTGACAACTCTGACTTTTATGGGGAACAATTGCTGCCAAATCAACATTTTATTTATGGCGAGGAATGAGCGCCAAAACTGTTGTCTAACTTACTCAAGAGACCAACTGCTGTCCTTGCGAGACTTTAACCCACTTAAAAAGACACATATAGACTATCTTAAAACTCTTACAAATAACATAACGAATTTTCAGAAAACTAGGAGAGGGTGTTCCTCGGGAAAAAATAGAAAGCATTGTATTAGTGTGATAACTTCTCCCCCATTTGGAAACGACCGAGCTGTTCCCGGTAAACCTAATTTAAGCAACCTTATTCAAATAAACTGTCCGAAGGCGTTGCAAGAACCTTCACGTAAAGAATGTGGTCTAAAACTTTGTTTGCTAAACGCTCGTTCTGCGCGGAATAAATCAATTGAATTGAACGGATTTATTTGTGAAAATGAGTTTGATCTATTCGCAGTAACCGAAACATGGCTCAGTGGTGATAGCGAAGGCCCTGTGCTATCTTCCCTGATACCTAAGGGTTATTCAATACTTCATAAACCCAGATTAACAGGAAGAGGTGGTGGTGTAGCACTGATTTTTAAAACCGCCCTCAAACAATTTTCTTACTCGTCTTTCGAATATCTTAAACAAATTATCAACCTCAAATCTTGAACTTTTGATTACCGGTGATTTTAATATACATCTGGACAAGAAGGACGACTCATTGGCTGTTCAGTTTGAAGATGTTATCAAATCCCATTCCTTGTTACAGCATGTCAATACTGCTACCCATGTTCGTGGCCATATTTTGGACCTCATCCTTACTAGAGAAGACGGGTTATCAGTTCATAATGTGGAGGTTACGGATAAACTTCTATCTGATCATTTCGCACTTACAATGAACCTCAATATTAAACGAGCTACTATCTCTACTAGACAGATAACTTATCGTAAATTTAAATCAATGAATTCTGACGAATTCAGATCGTCATTGGATTTTTCTCGGATATCAGAAACCGCATCGATACAAAATGTTCATCAAAAAGCTGTTCATTTCAATGAATGTATCCAGTATGTGTTAGATCAGGTTGTTCCAATTCAGACTAAAACTATCAAGGTCAGACCAGGGAATGTGTGGTTTAATGAAGAGATACGTGAGGCAAAACGGGGGCGTAATAGGGCGGAGAGAAAATGGCGACAGACAGGTTTAGTAGTTCATAGGGAAATTTATCACGCGGCAAAAGTTAGTGTTACGCGTCTTATTGAAAACTCAAAAGCTTCATATTATAAAGACAAGATAGAAACTAGTAATAATTCTAAAGAACTTTATATGGTTGTTAATTCTCTTCTTGACCACAACCATGGTGTCAAAATATTACCCTCCGTAAATAATTTGGACTTGCCAACTCGATTCTCAGAATATTTTGAAAGTAAAATTCTTAATATTAGGAATAATTTCACTGATAAAAATTCCATTCATGACCATGAGAAAAACATTTCGAGTGCTCTGGACAGATTTGAAATATTGTCTCAGGACGAAATCTCTCGTGTCATCAAATCTATGGCAACAAAATCATGTGCCTTGGACCCATTGCCAACACAGATACTGAAAGATCAGCTTCCGGTATTACTCCTGACTATTTGTGACATCATAAACTCTTTGTTTAGATCCGGAACATTCCCAGATATCTATAAACATGCCAATGTAATCCCTCTCATTAAGAAACCCTCGCTTGATCCAAACCAAGTCAAGAACTATAGGCCGGTATCCAACCTAAGTTTTGTGTCGAAAGTTCTAGAGAAATGCATCGCAAAACAATTGATTGGTTATATATCTGAATTTAGTCTTCTCAGCACCTATCAAAGCGCCTACCGTCAATATCATAGCACAGAAACTGCACTGTTAAAAGTACAAAATGACATTCTCTTGTCCATTGATAATCAAAGCTGTGTGTTTTTGCTGCTTTTAGATCTTTCTGCAGCATTTGACACAGTTGACCACAAGGTGCTGTTCTCGCGACTTGCTGGTGAATTTGGTGTAACTGGTTTAGCTCTCGAACTACTTAAATCTTATTTAACAAATCGTTCCCAATCTGTCATTATACACAACAAACAATCTGACAAAAAAGATCTGAGCTTCGGTGTACCGCAGGGCTCAGTTTTAGGCCCAATTTTGTTTAGCATATACACCACCCCATTGTCCAAAATTATTGAGAAACATGGTCTGCAGTTCCAACTTTACGCAGATGACACTCAGTTGTACCTGTCGTTTAAACCCTCTCTGCCTGGAGATTTCAATACATCAAAATATCAAATTGAAGAGTGTATTATTGAAATTCGTGTATGGATGGGAATCAATTTCCTTAAACTGAACGACGAAAAGACTGAATATATTCTTTTTGGATCAAACAGTTTAGTATCTAAGTTTGATAAAGGTGTTTCACTCTTAGTTGGTGAGCATGAAATAATCCCAACATCTTCAGTCTGTAACATTGGTGTTATCTTTGACAGTGAACTATCCATGGAGAAACAAATTAGCAATATTTGCAGATCTTGTTATTTTCAACTGAGGAATATAAATAAAATCAGTAAAAATTTGCCAGTTGAGTCCATCAAAACTGTTGTTCAGGCGCTTGTCACATCACGATTAGATCAATGTAATCCGTTACTTATTGGTTTACCATCTCGTCTCACTGATAAATTGCAAAAGGTTCAGAACGCCGCAGTTCGACTCATTACCAGAAGTAAACATAATGATCATATCACCCCTATTTTAATTCAACTTCACTGGTTACCCATTGTTTTTAGAATTCAATATAAGGTCATTCTTTTAACTTTTAAATGTTTAAATCATATGGCACCGTTGTATTTATCGTCGCTTTTAGATATTCCCCTACTCGTACATTGAGGTCCTCAAGTGACCATTATTCACTTGTCTGTAAAACAGCTAGACTGAAAACTTACGGTGAACGATCGTTTACAGTGCAGGCCCCTAAACTGTGGAATAAGCTCCCACTTACTCTCAGAAGTTCTACCTCTTTATCGAGTTTTAAATCGCAATTGAAAACACTTTTATTCAAACAAACTTTTGATTTATAGATTTATTTTTACTGTTTTAATTTTATACAATTATTATAGATTTTTAAACGTATGTTTTATTTTTTTATAGTTTTTTATGTAATATATATTGTACAGCGCATCTGAACACATTTTGTGAAAGCGTGCGCTATATAAATGATGATAATAATAATAATAATATTCTGTATATATTTGCCTACTATTCACATACCTGTATCATTTGCTTGATAAAGACAAGAGTATCCTCGTCAAAACGTCGCTTAGTTTTAAACTCAGTAATTGTGTATCCATAAAATTGTACCTTGTATTAATATGTTCAATTACTAAATGCCAATCAAAGAAGATCTGCTGACATAGTTAACATTACATACATGTAAACGAGAAATGACAGACTTAATTTTGGCCAGCCTAACCTACATGTGTATGGAGATCTGAAGAATCCACACCATCAGAATGATGCACAGATTCTGTGTATATACATGTACATGTATGCATAAATCCATTAAGACATTTAAAAAAATTAAAACTATATTTCACTCTGGATTGTAATTAAATTAATTATCATTCTCTGTTTACAAATTGAGGTCTAAATTTAATAACTGTAATTGATAAATATCATTTTTATTGAAGTGTAACTTTTAACACAAATAACATACATATAAAGTTTGACAGTACTGTACATGTAAATGTAAACAACATATAATGAAAAAGAAACTAAAGTAGGATCTGGTTAGACTATTCTTACCCCTGAGAATTATACTTTCTCTGGTAGTATGTTCTGTCCGCTTCCTCCTCAATAGGATATTGTAAAACTTCATAAGGTGCCGATATTTCATTATGGGTGTGATCTGGACCAATCTGACTGCGCTTAAAGATTGTATCAGCAAGTTTATTTAATTTATCATCAACTTCAGTGTGAATATGTTTAGGAAATTTTAATGTTGTGGGTGCAAATGCTGGGGAAACTGGACCTGAAATTTACAAAAAGATAAATGGATCAAATTATCATATCATTTATAATGGCTGTATGCCGTATGGTTTCTTTTAAAAGGCACAAGCCAGATCATCCACATACAATGTATCTCAAAAGTTAAAAAATATGTGCTTTTTTAATGTAAAAACAGTAGCGGTACATTAAAAAAAAACTTAAAAAATGAGGTGGTTGGCATGTATGAAAAAGTAACCGGTAGCAGAATTATAATTCTTTACATCCATCTAAATTCAAAGACATATAAATTGGTACATGTATGTGAAATCAATAGAGAAACCAATATAAAATTGTTATCCATAACTAAATCTACATGTAGAATTGAATGATTTTTAGCCACTCCATCATTTCTATGATTGTATAAAGACTAAAGGATCCTAGTCCAGATTTTTTTTTGTAATGGAAGGTAATTGTAGTTGTGTAGTTTCCAAAGATAATTTTCTTACACAAACATGTTATATGTAGACTGGTAACTTTGTATAGTTCTGTAAAATCTCCATTTCAATTCATGGAAGAAATATTTAACATCACAACCAATCGTTGAACTTTTACAGATTACACAAGTCATCATAATGGTGTAAAATTGTAAATTAACTTGGCACCACAACTGATATTTATACCAGATCAATAATTATAGTATGGTAGTTTAAAGAATCCTGGAAATTAATCATCTAGTGTAAACAAGATATTGATCTATGAAACTAGTTGCATCACCCTCACCCAATTAAAATTCAAGTTATCTGGTTCCAACGTCTCAACTAATCCAATTGTTTGTCTCTGCTTCACCTTCTCAGAGAATGTTCATCATTAAACTGGGTCAAAAAACTCACCTGATGAACATCTACACCCAGTTTGTATAGTCTACTTTAATTATCTCTGTGTCCCAAAGTCTTAATCAACAGTAATTAAATTGAAGTCTCTACTTACATGTACATGTACATGTAGCAGCAGAAAATTCTTATCATACTATAGAACTTAGTTAAGGTACATGTAATGAAACTACCGGTACATGTGTATACACCAAGTTTGAAAAACTCAACCAATCAAAGTGCTTCACTCAATGAAATTATACCCCAGGCCCAGGTCCAGGTTTTATTGTGTTCGGAAGTTTTAACCAATCAAAGTAGCTCAGTGTGCTTAATCTGAGCAGAAATGATCATTATATACATGTAACTTCCATAAATAAACTCTCACTCAATTACATATTTATCAGAGTTATTGTGTTGCTTACATCTATCTCTGCTTAGCCAACACACATGCAGGATATGCCCATCATCGAAATTCGTCAAAGTATTGATGACATCTATACACACAAGGTTTCACCACTCTCACTCAATTTGAATAAAAGTTACTGGTATCTTGTTTGAGAGTCTTGACCAATTAAAGTGCTTAAGTAACATGAGCAAAAAATGCTCATTATCGATTTTAATAATGCTCACTTGTGTTGCTTATCAATGCTTTGCCTATGCAGAAAATGCTATCACCTTATTCAGTCAGAGCATTCAGTTACGGACTTTACGGTATATTCGTGTATGTAACAAGAAGCAGAGTTACCGGTACATGTCAAGACTTGTGTTCCAAAAAAGTGTGATGGACAGACAGACAGAGCCTTTTTAAAAGTCTCCTGCTTTCTTCTACGACTGGAGACCTAAAAATTCTGGAAACTTTCTCCTAGTAGAAACATACATGTACACAAACAAACATGACTTGGTGAATGATAAATGGTGTATTTAAAAGTTGAGTGTCAAATACATGTACCAGTAATTTTAATTTTTACAACATGTCCATATAATACATGTACACTGGGAAGTATGTAAATAAACGCAAAGTAAAATACCTAAACAGAAATTGATCAATTTTGATTGGTCTAGTGAACATTTCTTTTTCCAATTACACTTTAGTTTATGGTAAACAGATTACATGGTTATTCAAATATAAATAGACTGTGCAATTAATAAATTCAGGAGTAAAAATAGGGGAAATACAGAAATAATCAAATTCTGTACATTTCAACTATAACGCAGTAAATGCACCTCTTCACCCCAAATTACAGCGTAGTACAGTACTACATATGTATTTATTGTTTCTAGTTATTTTGATACCCAAAACACATGGCCATGGCATGGCATGACTCAGAACGAGGCCTAATTTTAGCAATAGAAACTAAGTACACTTGTGTAGAGAAAACAGCTTATCCATGAGCCACTAATGATTTCTATACAACACACTAGAGAACTGCCTCATACAATACAAAAAAATAGCAGTAATTACAATCAGCAGGGATTAATAAATGTTTGATAATAGTAAAATAACTGTCATTTTCAATAAGAAAACAAATTTATGTAGGCCTATTCCCTATATTAATATTTATAGCCTATGCCATATTTGTGAACCTACTCATACTTTTAGAGTGACACAACTTAGCATTGATTGAGTGTTTCCTGAGCTCATTGAAAATCATCATAAATATGTACCAGATTTAATACAATTTGTTCCATTTTCATAACTCAGATACTGGTATTTGCTTTTAATACATTCTGGGTTTATGTGTACACATGACATTACATGTACCGGTACATGTAGTATCAATTACTTGTTTAGTGGACATCTATATATGTAATGTGAAGAATAAGACCACCGTAATTGTTATTTTATGGTAAATGACATTGCCAAATTTCATGTCTTGCAAACACATAACTGTTTATAAAGTTGATAATTTGTAATGCATATGTAGGTAGAGATATCTCTCTGTATACTGTAGGAAGCTTTTGATCTATTGATGTGACAATTGTACTAACTAAATGGTACATGTACATGTATTAGACCTCACATGTACATTTATTAGTCATAAAAAAAATAATTCTAAAACTGGGAAATGAAAAAACTAAGAACTCTATTCTACATGTAACAAGCCAACAGTAAGGCTGATGTCCCCCGCCGAAATCCCCAAATAAATAGATGACACATATAAATTAATCACACATCTATTTTTTTCAAAAGTATCGAGCAATCAAACTGATTATCAACTATACACTAAGTTTCATCACTCTCTATCAGATAGAATCAAAGTTATCTTGTCCCAAAGCATCGACCAAGGAACTTGCTTATCTCTGCTTAGCTTTAGCTCGATATGTTAATCATTCTATCTCAATTAGAAACAGAGTTGTTATGTTCCCAAGTCTTGACCAATCAAAATGCTTATTGCTCCTTAGCCTAAGCAGAAACTCTCATCATCGAACTTAGTCAAGGTATTGATGTAATGAAACTATAACACCAAGTTTCATCACTCTCACTTAATTAGAACTAAGGTTATTGTGTCCCAAAGCATCAACCAATCAAATTGGTTATCTCTACTTACCATAAGCAGAAAATGCTTATCTTCACACTCTATCATGGCATCGGCCTCATAAACACCTACACAAAGTTTGAACATTCTAGCCCAATTAGAAGGAGAGTTATTGTGTCCCAAAAAGTGTGACGGACAGACAGACGGATAGACAGACCGACAGACAGACAGACAGACGGACGGACGAACCCATTTTAATAGTCCCCTGCTTTCTTCGAAAGGCGGGGGACAACTAAAGTTATAGTGTCCCAAAGCATCAACCAATCAAATTGTTTATCTACTTAATTAGAACTAAAGTTATAGTGTCCCAAAGCATCAACCAATCAAATTGATTATCTCTGCTTACCCTAAGCGGAACGGACAGACAAACAGACAGACGGACGAACCCATTTTAATAGTTCCCTGCTTTCTTCGAAAGGCGGGGGACAATAAGCATGAACATTCACTCAATTCGAAGATCAACCAATCAAATTGTTTATCTCTGCTTACCATAAGCGGAACAGACAGACAGACAAACAGACAGACGGACGAACCCATTTTATGGTTCCCTGCTTTCTTCGAAAGGCGGGGGACAATCAAAGTAGGAGAGTTATTGTTTTCCAAAGTCTCGACCAATCAAATTGCGTATCGCTCTGCTTACCCTGAGCAGAAAATGCTCATTATCAAACTTAGTCAAGGTATTACTGTAATGAAACTATACACCAAGTTTCATCAATCTCACTTAATTAGAACTAAAGTTATCGTGTCCCAAAGCATCAACCAATCAAATTGCTTATCTCTGCTTACCCTAAGCGGAAAATGCTCATCTTCGAACTCCATCAAGGCATTGACCTAATCAACACATACACCAAGTTTGAACATTCTAGCTCAATTAGGAAGAGAGTTATCGTTCCCCAAAGTATCAACCAATCAAATTGCTTATCTCTGCTTACCCTAAGCGGAAAATGCTCATCTTCGAACTCCATCAAGGCATTGACCTAATAAACACATACACCAAGTTTGAACATTCTAGCTCAATTAAAAGTTATCATGTCCCAAAGCATCAACCAATCAAATTGCTTATCTCTGCTTACTCTAAGCGGAAAATGCTCATCTTCGAACTCCATCAAGGCATTGACCTAATCAACACATACACCAAGTTTGAACATTCTAGCCCAATTAGGAAAAGAGTTATCGTGTCCCAAAGCATCAACCAATCAAATTGCTTATCTCTGCTTACCCTAAGCGGAAAATGCTCATCTTCGAACTCCATCAAGGCATTGACCTAATAAACACATACACCAAGTTTGAACATTCTAGCTCAATTAGGAAGAGAGTTATTGTGTCCCAAAAAGTGTGACGGACGGACAGACGGACAGACAGACAGACAGACAGACGGACGAACCCATTTTAATAGTCCCCTGCTTTCTTCGAAAGGCGGGGGACAATTAAACGGATGACTAAATATATGAAAAAGTCTGTAGTTCTATATCTTAATTCTCAGCAATTTCTGTACATGTACAATGTACCTACAATAGTTCTACAAAAATACTTGGTTTAAACTGCTACGCTACATGTACATTTAGATAATAAGCACACTATAAAATGAAATGAAATGGGGTTTAACGTCTTACTGTTCTGCTCCTATACTGGGCTAATGAAGACGGGAAGCACACTATAAATTTGAGAACTAATTTGCACATAAGTAAAAAATATAGTGATAGAATTCTTGTATTTCTAAACATTTCCAATGAGAAGACACTGATTATAGCAATTTTCTGCTCTATGTTTAAAGTTTAACGGAAAATGTCCCCAAGAAGCTACCAAGAGCCAACCACAATGACAACTTTAATGCACTAAGAAACAATATTTCTAACAGCAATGGCAGTTTCAATGACCAATTACATTCTTTACAAAATTTAAATTCAATTCTAATTCTAGATTGTGACTGTAAACTACAATGTAAGGCTTAGGCTTTTGTTATTTTTATTCTTTTCATTGTCAGTCTATTGATTGTTGGAATATTTCCTCTTACTACACCATGGTTTTTGTATTGAATGACTATAAATTCACCCAATGTACCGAAATTTGCTTATTCTCACTTAACAGTATTCAGGAATTCTTTTCAGTTTTATTTTGTCGATCAAAATCAATGTACAAAGAGGATCCCTAAGTAATACATGTACTTTCACAAGATACTGCACACCAAAAGTAGCGAAATTTTCAATTTACATTCACCATATTATACGTGTAGGTAGGCCTACAGCCAGGATATATATATATTTCGTCATGGATTCTTTTCAGTTTTATTTTGTAGGAGCCCTATTGATTTTGACGTTGATCAGACTTATTCAAACTAGTAGTACGCCTAATGGCAGTTTATAAAGCAGGACGTACATTATATAGTAGCCTACAGGGCACAGAGTGAGCCGATCTAAATTTAATATGATTATTTTATTTCATAAAATGAGCGGTATTATTTAATTATTATTAGCCTATTATTTTTTCATTTAGGCCTAGGCCTATTATTAACCAACTTCATTTAGTTGCAATAAAAAAAATCAAATCACAGCATATGACATTATGAGTGACAACCCAGAAAAAGAGAGTCTATACAGACTAAATCATTTATGAGCTTAACTGATCATTGATACAGTAGTACGTAGTAGATCTATCCGTATCACTAGGCCCTCTAAATACTCATACTGTAACTCAAGTAGGCCTAACTGTATCAGAAATGGATATTCTTATTTCTTCTTACCTGCTACGCGTTTGTTTAGATTCTCACTATCTTTAATCGGGAGCCCATTGATATCTGGACATTTCTTAGACATTTTCAGTAACTTAACAATATTAACGACTTTTTCCTTCAAATAATTATCTGCTGTTATCGTTTTGTTTCCCTCCCAGCTGACAGACGGAAAATTTACATTTTCAACGTATAACAATGGCGATGTAATAAATTCGAAGGAGTACTTGTTGATGATTATATAAATTATATTATTAATAAAATAATACATCATGACACTTCATAACATAACATTGAATTTGATAAATTGTCCAAATCAATTTGATCCCCCCCCCCCTACAAATAATCCGTTTTCAAACACAACATAACATGTTGATTTATTTTTATTTTTGGTATAAAACAAGAACTGCTCCCACATGGGGCCCTTTCAGGTGCTGTCTGCTAGCCTATATCATTTTGTAAAATTATTAAATTTAATAAATAAAGCATAAGTAATCATCGTGTTTCAAATTTTTTTAAATAGAAATTATACTTTAAGTAAATACTATTTTATAATCTTAATACTGTGCAGGCTGAACGTATTAATTTATCAATAAAAATTGTTCTATAATGATCCCCTGTAATGAAAGTTTGGTCACATGATCATTCAAAATGGCGAACTCAGAAGAAGCTGAACTCGATGGTGCAACTGTCTTAGCTAAATCCCTTAAATCTCAGGTATATGGTTGGATAGCACTTAATTTATAGCATGGTGTATATCCATAGCAATTACCATGCAGCACAATTAGCATTGACATCAATTATTTAAAAGCCAGTAGACCTGTTATTTGCTGTGCAGTAAGCACCATGAAGCATTGAATTTGAATGGACTTTGGTCGGAGAATGTCAATTATATGACACCATGGACCCTATAATAGGTTCTATGATGACACTGTCACATACTATTCCCTTAGTTTTGAGTTGACCTGACTTTACCATATAACGACCATCAATTTGAAGTTTTACATAGGTTTTAATCAAACCATGCATACCAGGCAGTTTTCCATGACACTGGACGCTGTCAGTGACAAGATAAGTCTAAAGTTGAGATCCCAGACTGCTGTCAGTTACAATACAACTATGGCCCACATGTGAATTCACATATCTATATCACTTTTTCAAGATTGTGTACCTAAAAAATGATTTGGAATGAAGAAAAACAAATGGAAAAAGTACATCTCATATGGAATTGATATGTTATGTAATAGCCTGGAATAAAGATGAGGATAACTATACTTTTTTGTATATATGTCTAATTAACAGGGAGTAGAGTATATGTTTGGTATAGTTGGTGTACCAGTAATTGAGGTAGCTATGGCTGCTCAAGCTGAAGGTATTAAATATATTGGTATGCGGAATGAACAAGCCGTAAGTGTTTAGGTTTGATTATAGTTCATTTCAGTCTTTGATTTTATCATAATACATGTACAGTGTAATTAAAGGCATTGCCTTTTATAAGAGATTTGTTTTAACAATAGAACTGGAATACTTATAATTAGTTATTGACATGTATTATAGAATCCTACACCTCAGGTTATGATTTGCCATAGTTTTGTTAATGCAGTGATTAGAAAATAAACTTTTGTACGGCTGTACTTCATTTTTTTTAGCTTGTTTGAAATTTGATAAAATAAGTAACAAATTTAAAAATACATAATGTAGCATTTTATTTCATGTTTATTAAAGATACATAAGTTAAGATTTTAATAAAGAGTTGGCCATTCTTGATACAACAGTTCAAAAATAGATAATAAAAAAAAGAAGATATTGAAACTTTCAGTCAAATTACTTTATTCTGAACGAAGTTATCACTGTTGGAAGTTTGGACTAGAAATAGATCATTTGATTAACAGACGATAACTCTGCCCACATATTCTCAATTATCAAGTAACATTCTCAATGCCTATGGTATCCTCGATTATCAGTCCTTTCATCAGCAGTCTCTGGGAGGGACGTCAGTGATTAACGGTAAATGTTAGCTTGGTCAGCCATTTAATGATTTAATTAATAAATGGGCGACTGTTTAAATCCAAGCCATCCAAGTGTTTACAGAGTTGATGTTGGGCTTGTTATGTAAATAAAGGTCTAATTAATAACTTCTATCACATTTGAAGCCTATAGAAAGACTTGCAATAGGCATATTTAGCTCTTAACTAATGTATCTTAAATTGCCCGGAAAGGCACAACATCTAGTCAGTCAAATGGGACGAAGAAACCAAGATCATGTGTACACTTTAGCATGCACATAAAACAGCCGTTGACAGTGGGAGTTTGATGAAGATGAAAGGCTAATTTTCCCTCATTGCACACTGTGTGGCACATATATTGCTTGTCTTCATTAGCCCGGTTGGTACAGGACCGTAGGATGTTAAACCCTATTCCATTTTATTTCATTTATTTTTTACTTCAGGCATCATATGCAGCATCAGCCATTGGTTATATGACTGGCAGGTAGGATTATAGTAACTCTTTCAAATTCAAATTTGATCATAAATGTTATGCAACCCCATCCGCCCTCAACATAATGATGTGTTCCGTTATGTTCATTCTAACTCTTTATAATGCACATCCTCTTTTGTCTGCAAAGTTATTACGTCAAACCCATTTCAGATCTTTTGACACCCAAACTTGGATTCACTGCATATTCGATTACTTTGTCTAGTGTGACCCACTCAGTTCCTATATTGTCTCACTTAAAGGAGATACATGTAGACCTTCTGTTTGTAAATTCTAAATAAATAATGTAATAGTTATCTGTTCTACCATTACCATTTGCATACATCATGAATCATATAATAAGTGGACTAAAGCTGTGGTACATTGTATATTGATTTAGTAGAAAGTTGATATCAAAACAGAACTTAAAGATTGGTTCCCAGAAAAGTATTTATCGGGTGGTTATTTCCAATAAAAGTATGGCAATTTTGGCATACATGGAAAGTAGAGATATCCAATCTTACCAGAAAAATACTGGATTCCCCAAAAAACACTCATGGAGCGTATACAGGACAAAAATGTAAGGGTTCTCCTAATCGACAGCCAGACGATTAGGAATTTCTGCACGCGTGATGTCAAAGGTCACACGCGAACACTGAGCGCTTGATGTACAAGTTGATAAACTTTATGAAGAGTTAGACGTACAACACTTTCTGAGATAAAAATGACGGAAAAAGACGCAGGTAGTGGATAATCCGAGAATTTAATTAGGATTCGATATTTGTGATAAATAGTAAGCGATTAAAGACAACAACGTCTTATGTATACAATGAATTCTCCTCTGACTTCCAAGAGAGGTAAGTCACGTGACGTAAACATGACCTGGTTTGATCAAATTTTTATAGCAGGGCATTCCTTCTCAATTACAATGTTTGAGAAGGATTTGAAGCAAAATTATGACAAATTAATTAGTTTGAATATGTTTTTAGTCCATATATATCATTAAATCACCCAGTTTGTACCGGGAATGTATCTTTAAAGTGGCTTAGTAATACAGGAAATAAATAAATAAACTGTTCTTTTCTAATGGCTGATTGTTTAAATTTAAAGTCATAGTAATCCACATTAGGCAAGGATTCTCCTTCTTTCTTGGTTAATCCTTCCACCTAAAAAATCTCCACGACTGGAATTCAACTGCATTTATCAAGGAATGTTAGCGATAATTGAAGTTGTCTGTACTAACCGATTCATCCATGGTGTGACATTTTTCATGGACTACTGTATATTCACTGCCTAGCCTTAAGTTGAAATAAATTACAACTGTACCATAAGCTAATGTAAAATCTATTTTTTCAGGCCCGCTGTTTGTCTAGTTGTATCAGGACCTGGTTTAGTTCATGCATTTGCAGGAATGTCTAATGCCATGGAGAATTGTTGGTAAATAGAATATAATTGCATTTATCGGATGTTTCCTTATTCGTATTGTATCAACCAAATTACTGCTCATACTGTGATAAGTAGATAATATTGTTCTGTCACTTTAAAATAATGATAATGTACATATGTAGAGTGCTAAATCCATCAAAAGCATGCTCAAAGCATAGTGAGAAAATAGTTATATACACTGTGAATGGAAAGTCTAATTCTCGGAATAAGTAGGTGATTATACTCGACTTCAAGTTAAACATACATTATGCAAGAGCTAAATCTGTGTATTGCAGGTCTTTCTTTAGGAATGAAATGTAATCTAAATTATTAATTAGACATCAATTAACTTATCCAGACATTAATCAACCCTTGATGGCATCGGATACTCAAGATTTTAACTAGATTAGAACGGTGCGGCATTTAAAAATTTAATTTAAAAATGAGAAATCAAGGCTTAATCTCGAATATACCAGTGCCCTGGTTACCACTATGCACACATCTTGTCAAAACTACAAACAGTGATAACTTGGCTCAGAATGAAGTAATTTGAATGAAATCTTCAATATTTTCATTTTACATTATCTATTTTTGAGATATTAGCAAGAATGGTCAGCTCTTTATCTAAATCTTACATAATGTATCTTAAGTCATAACATTGTTAAATCTGTTACTATTTAGTCTTGACAGTTCACAAATCTGATAGCAGTTCAGATTGGTATTGACACTGACAAAACAGATACTAAAAATAGCGCAAACGTTTCCATATTGAACTGAAATTTTCTATCTGAAAACATGATAATCAAAAAAATACACCTAAAAGTTTTCCAGCTTTTTCACCACAAGGGGTGCATAACTCTTTAATAATATGTATTTAAAATTAGTTTAATCAAATATTACGGTGGTTCAGTGAGAAGGGAGCTTGCTTACTAATTAGGATTGTCTCACAATGTTGGCTAAGATAGTCCTTTTATGATGCAGGACAGAAGGCCTGGCAAAGAAAAGCATTTAGTTGTTTGAAGGTGACAAAAGAATCCTTGATATTTGGAATCTTAAGAAGAGTATAGGTAAATGGTGCTTTGTCTGGGCGAAATTTCCCTCATGGCACATAACAGAGCGAATGCCGTCTTCATTAGCCTGGTTAGTGAAGAAAAGTAGGATGTTAAATCCCATTTCATTTCCTGTTACATATTATGCAACAGATAGACAAATATTTTAATTCAAAATATATTAAAGGGGCATTATGGAAGGTTAGATAAAGAGCTGACATTTCTCGCTATAATAGTTAAAAAATAGATGTGCTGAAAATTCCAATCAAATTACTTCACTCTGAGCTGAGAAAACTGAATTTCAAAAACACAATAGCCTTGATTGTCATTTTACCATTGTTACGATAATAAACAAAGTCTTGATTATCAATTTTTACGGTTAATCATGAACAGCAGTAAAATTGCAGATTTAGCTGTTGTATAATGTATGTTTAATATTTACGGTCATTTAGTGTTGATATATGAGAATGTTGTATTTTGGTAACATGTTACAGGCCTCTTATTGTTGTTGGTGGATCATGTGATGCCAATCAAGAAGGTATGGGAGGTTTTCAAGAATATCCACAGGTAACTTAGTTTTGAACAGTAAAGTCAAATTCAAAATCTAGGAATCTGTCAGTCGGCATTCTACCTAGATGAGTAAAACTGGACATAAATCTGTACTAGATACCTTGATTCCTACTTTTAAATATCTTATTAGATTCTGATGAATATATTTCTAGAGCAAATAAACAAAATGTGACCAACTATGGTTAAATTAAAGATGTGGGTTAAAAATTCAAAATACTGTTATGCATCATTGCATTAATTTAAATTATGTATTCCATACTCCGTAGCAGCAAAATGTAGCAAATTTTATGCATTTCAGTTAAAGTTTAGTCTGCATGATGAGCTGTGGGGAATTAAAAATATGGTCATTTCTGAAGACAACATGCTGGGAACTAAAATGGGTGGAATTATAGTTTTTAAATGTTTTTATCAGTATGTTCCATGTCTGATATAGTCAGAGATGGTCACAAATAGAAGTATTGTCTGTACATAGTTAATTCTCACTTTGATGTACTTGATTATCTCATTTAAAAATATGTCTTTTAAACTTGACCCGACTTTCATTCTAAATACCTGACTAAATCACTGAAAACTTGATATCTTTTACTAATAAATAAAATGCTGATATCGTAGTTTGATGGATTTTGAATCGTTCACAAATTGTAATATTGTGAATGATATTTCACCAAAAGGATTATCATTCCAAAAATAGTTCAATTCCATTCAGTATTTATATACATATGATTGAAAATTTTGCAAAATTTGGCATCCTATACAGATATAGATGGGATTTGGTCAAAATGACTAAATCAAAATGACAAAATTCACTGAATATTACTTAATTAGTTATTTTGATTTTTTATAACGAATCCATAGCTGCTTAGACCAAATTTTGGAGACATTTTGTCTACGACCCATATAAATAAACAAGCTAACGAAACCTATAGATTTAACTAAAATCGTTTGATGCATCCAAACTAGGAGATCAGCCACTGTTGATAGTTTTTGCTTGTCTTCCTTAGATATTATAAAATCAATAATGCAAGTACATTTACCCATGGATTAATCCCTGAAAAATTAGATAGATGTTGTCCGTAAAATGAAAATGACAATCATCATCTTAAAGATGATTTTACAATCATTGAAAATTTCAGGTTTCTTCTGCTAAATCATTTTGTAAATATTCAGCAAGACCAAGCAGTATTGATAGAATTCCATTTTTTGTTGAAAAAGTAAGTACCATTACCTAAATGATTTCACTTAATCTGATTAATCTCTGAATCTGAATTCAAATTATTAAAAATTACCTATGAATGATCCTCAGTAATTTATTAATTCAATTCCGTCTAAGACCGATAAGTGATTTTTATCATATTGAAATGAAATGAAATGGAGTTTAAAATCCTAGTGTTCTGCTTTGACTGGGCTAATGAAGATGGGCATACTCCATACAGTGTGCTATTAGGGTAATTTTCCCAAAACAGCAGCGCTATTGCCTACCCTTAAATCCAATTTCTACTGCCAAGGGATCTTCTACATGCACGTGAGTGTGTACATGGGAGCTTAGTTTTCCGTATCATCTTAACAACTATACATTGTCTCTTGCCAGACCCTCTGTCCTGCACCACTGACAAATTATCATATTGAAAAAATTTACTTATCAATCTGCACCTGTTATTAAATATATTTGATAGAATATTATTAATATCAATAGCTGTCTTTATGCCAGCACACACAGACTATTCCTTCACTTGTTGAAGCAAATGAGTAATAGTTAGGCAGCCAGGCATCCCTGCTGTCAAAATCTCGGTTCAGATACTGCCCCCATTTATCATATGTCTAGTGAAGTTATGTGGCTGCCATTTTTTAATATGACATGATATTCTAGCTTGTGCTGACTTAATTGTCAAACAAAAAGATGGCTCCACAAGAGATTGCTTGCTGTCGCAGAAATAACAATTTATATACGATTTCAGCGTGACGCGCAATGACACACACATGCAACTGCCTTAAAAAATCACCCATGCTTCAGAAGACAGTTCAAGTCTTTATCATCTTATTATATGTATTGACATTATTATATTTGATTAGGCTGTAAGACAGAGTATATATGGTAGACCTGGTTGTTCTTATATAGATTTACCAGGAGATATGATCACCCAGAAAATACCAGAGTCACATATCAGGTAGGTTTATTCATGTTTTAATGTTAGACTTAGGTTCCTCTCTGACTTGTGGTTTCAGTTATTTCTGTATCTGGAATGAATGGCACAATGTTGATCAAGCTCTGTTGTTTGACATTTTACATAAATAACCTGTTAAAAAGAAAGAGCTAGACCCAGTATGGGTTGTGAAGGCAAGTGCCTGTCTAAATACATGTAGTAACATCTTTACATTTTTAAGTCCTAGGCAATACTATGGTGCTAATTCAACTTTATTTTAAAATGCTGCCGAGTACCATAAAGGGGGGAATTTATATTTGTCTGTGATATCAGTTCGGGCATTAATTAAAGCTATTTCACACAGATTGTTAGAAGGATGATGTGTAGTGGGTTGCTGTGTGTACTCAGATTATTTTTAATGACTGCATACGCTCACTTGGAGTTTGCGAAAAACAGGCCATGGAGGGTCAAATTAACTTATTTCAACAAAACTTTGTAGGAATGTTGGTTTGTAGTATACCTGTACAAATTTAGGTGCAAATGTAGACATTTCCCAACAAATCCACATAAAGATTCAACTTAAGCTAGATGAATGATTAAAATATTGGTGATAAGTATCTCTAACTTTAAATTATTGATGGGAATAATGACTTATATAATATTTACAGAATGTTAAAGAAATGTCAACCAGCACCAGTGATATTAGCAGATCCAGTCTGTGTTAAGCAAGCTGTTGATGTTTTATCTGCTGCTAAAAAACCTTTAGTTGTTGTGGGTAAAGGTGGGTTGGGGTACCAGTTATGTTTAAATTCTTGGGTTTTTTTTTCTATCCTCTGTGTTTACGTCTGTGCAATTTGTCACTTTCTTTTTGACCAATTTTTCTATAAAAAATATTCCCATTAAGGTTATGAAATGCTCCACTGACAATACTTTTTTGTAATTTTATTGACCTTGAAATTTCACTTTCTGTCAGATTTCTTGATCTTGTTGACTATTTCTTATTGTAACTGTGTAACTTCGAATAAGAGGAATCTACTAGTGTTAAAAGCTTCACTTATAATGAATATTAAGTCATAATTTACCTTGTGGTAAATAGTATGTGGACTGATAAAGTTTCACAAGAAGCCAAAAAAGCTAGTTTACTGTATACGACCAACACTGGGTAGATGAGACGCATGACACAGCCCCCTGTTTTAAGGGACTGCAGATAACCAGAGAGCATGTACAAAATCTATTTGACCGATTTTGAGTTTTCAGCACATTTGAAGTAGCTAAGTCTTTAACTCAATATCATCCACACAGTCTCCAACATTGAGAACACAAATTATTTGTCAATTTAAATAAACATTGATGTTGTGATCTTACCGGGAAAATATAGGCTTCTGACATCAAATATTTAAAACAAAATAAATATTTTACCATTGGTACACAAATCATGTACGAGAATGCGTTTCAGTGCCATTTGTAACCAGGGACTTGAAGAACAAAGCTAGACATATTCCACAAGTCATGTCAAACACCATATTCTTATCTGGAGAGCATGCTCAATAAATACTACCGGTGTAGACTGGAATAACCAGATGCTAGAGATTGCCATTCAATCCAGACTTTTCACGAATTTCGTCGAAAATAACTGATTTGAAACGATAGAATGTAAATTAGTTTATATACATTCATATAACATTATGATATGCGTTGCAACCCATTTGTGTCAATTTCTAGGTCCCAAATATTAGCAATTTAGCTCCTTTAAGTAACGAAATTATGATAGATTTGTTGACTGTCTGATTACAGGTGCAGCATATTCCCAGTCAGAAAACAGTATTAAAGAGTTCATCACATTATGGAATTTACCGTTTCTACCAACACCTATGGGTAAAGGAGTGCTTCCAGATAATCATCCACAATGTGTGTCGTCTGCTAGATCAAAGTATGTACCTGTAGTATGAATAAAAGTCGTACCAAAAAAAACACAAATTAGCACTCTCTCAAAATTATTCTCACATTCATGTATACCGGTACTGCCTTTGAAAAGGAAAACCTACATAGTTATAAAGTTATAAGCAGATGAAAAAGTTTATTTGAGGAACATATGAAACAAGTATTCAGCACAGGTAGTCCAGAGCTTCACCTTTCTGACACTTGTAGACAGTTCACAGAAGTTTGAATTGGAGGCCAATGTATGTATATCATATTTTTCTTTTTTTTTTTTTTGTATTTAAAGAGCTCTTCAAGAAGCTGATGTGATACTATTATTAGGTGCTAGATTAAACTGGATTCTTCATTTTGGTCTTCCACCTCGTTTTCATAAAGATGTTCAAATTATTCAGGTATAAACGAATAAATAAATGGCTAATCAGGATCATAGTTGTAGATATTCTTTTCTTCACAACAGCAATAGGTTGCAATATAAGTCTAATACCTTGGTTAACTCCTGTTTCTAAAATGCACAGAATGGAGCGCCTGACAAGGACAGCTGTCTAGTCGTTTGGATAGGCCAAAAACAAAAAAACCGAGGTCCCCTGTATACATTGGCTTGTACATACAAGATCCCCTGGCAGTTGGAATTCAATAAAAGAGTAGGCCATAGTGCTGCTGCCCAGGCAAAATTTCCCTCATAGCACACTATATGGCATATGCCCATCTTCATTAGCCCATTTGGAGCAGAACAGTAGGACGTTAAAACCCATTTCATTTTTTATTACTAAATGCAAAGCTCACTTATCACATATAACGATTACAGCTTTATCAAAATTGCATCTGGGTAGTAAAGGCTATTAACCCAATTGAAATCTGAATTCTATATTGTGATTGAAACTTATGTATAATACTTATGGTAATATGTATAATTGTGACTATTATCATGGCAGATCTTTTTCATTTGGTCATTGTAATTCAATAAGTAAATTGTTTTATAGTTGTGTTTCTCAGGACAGAGTGTGCACCCTTTTCCGGACAGCTGTCACTGCCTTCTATTTGAAAGTCCACATAATTGTTGATTGATTATGTACTTCAGTAGACTCTGTGTCAATTGACGAGTGTAAGTGGCGGGTGCTGTGCACAGAACAGAGTTAGCTTAGACTTTTCAGGAAATTTTGACTTAAATAGTACCGTAGTTGTAGAAAGCACAAACAAATATACGGACATTACAGTAATTAAATTATCAGAGATCTTTCAAATGAATTGAATAAACCCATGAACACGACTATCAATTATATAATTATGTGTACATAGTTGAATTAAATTATCAGAGATCTTTCAAATGAATTGAATAAACCCATGAACACGACTATCAATTATATAATTATGTGTACATAGTTGAATTAAAAAATGTATTATTTATATTTCAGGTTGATATTTGTCCAGAAGAATTGGGAAATAATGTTGGTAAATGGTTAGGTCTTGTTGGTAATATTAACAGCGTTGTCCAACAGGTATAATAGATGGTTTAATTATAATCAGGGGGTTCAATGTCCTACTTTTCTGCACCAAACTAGCTAATGAAGCCAGGCAAACACGATACAATGTGCTGTGAATTTTGCCTGGACAGTGTAGTGTCCACCTACTTTCATAGAATTCCAACTTCAAAGGGTTCCATTGTATGCACGCCAATGTGTACAGAAGACCTTGGTTATTCATCCCATTCCGACGACAAGATGCAGTTCCTTGCCAGGCCTTCCATCATGCTCCACTGAAGGTGAAACCACACTGAATAATCCCATGGAACACCTTGATTGAACCTGGGACCTCTTAGTTAGTGAGCCAGCATTTTAATCACTGGGCCACCGTAGGTACAAATAAATATAGAATTACTGGAATCACCTGTAAATTTTATTTTATATATTTGAAGCTTGTAGATGAAACAAACAGACAAACCCATAAACCTACAATTAATGCATCAGATCCATGGTGGAAACTTTTACAACAGAAAATGGCTACGAATCAAACTACTTTTGAGGTATGTTAGATGAGAGACATATAGGGTCAAAACTTCACTTTGGTACAATAAAATTTAACCGTATGTAACTTGAGTGTTGTACGGTAATTCATTTTTGAAATCGGGACATCTTACAGCAGTGGTTCTCATCATCAGTGTGGAGGAAATGAAAAAGCCATAGAAAACTCATATTGTTTGCAGACGACCATACCCACAAACTACAATTCTTTAATTGATGAGACATTAGACCACTTGGCCACCCAATCCTACTTGTGGTTAAGTGATACATATTAGAAAGAATATCTTTATGTCAGTAATATCAAATAAACATTTTACTGAAACCACTTTTAAAAGAATTGTTACCTGCAAATTTATTTTATTTTATTTGCAGGAAATGGTATCAGATACAAGCAGTCCCTTAAATTACTATGCAGCGTTATCAGAGGCAGGTACCAATATTAATTAGTTATTGTTACAAGTTATTGTCGTCAGACGAGTTATTGTTGTTCATATTCATCATAAAGCAATGGTTATGAGCATTATCAGTTCATTAACCATTGCTACATACTGTAGTAAAGTGATGTTTGTGTTCAGACTTTTCTCTGTAATCGGGTCCATCCCTGAATATCTTTATACAACTAGATATATTTGCCTTGAGATTTCAACTCATACTTTCTGTGCTAGAGCTACTTGGATTAAAATCAACTATACATTTCCAAAAAGCTCCATTGAACCTCGTTTGGGGGATATTTAGCAAGCTAACCCTGAAGACAGTAAAAATTGTCACCCATAGTTGATATCTAAATGTGGTAGCAGTTAAAGAGCTGATAATGCTCATTACCAGTACTTTCTTGAATATGGAATTGTGGTTTCATGCAAATATTGTGGGTTCATGCAGATATCTTATAATCCACTTCTTGATTCAAAAATGAATTAATGATTTATATAAAATTATTTCATCTTTGAATGAGGCTATATATATCATCATTTTCTAAATTTTGAGTTTTTGTAAATTATCAGGTTTAGGTATGTTTGTACACCCACAGAATTATGGAATGTTTTTTTATTAAACACTACAAAGTACTTAATAAATATTTATCTTTTTTGATCTGTAGATACAGAAGGCCATTCCTAAAGATAGTATAATAGTAAATGAAGGAGCTAATACAATGGATATTGGAAGAGTTATGTTACTTAATAATTTGCCAAGACACAGGTAATTTTATGAAGCTTCAAAATATTTTAGTAGCTACCTATTCTATAATATTAAAATTTGAACCTTAATCCTACCATAAGTAATTTTAATTGTTAAGCCAACCATTGGTAAATGTTTTCTACCTTAATCTCGGAAATGAGATCAGGTTGTGTTTTAAACCTTGCAGATGTCTGCTGATTCAAACAAACAAAACTGCCAAAAGTGCCAAGCATAAAAGATTCCCAACAATGATGACAAAGCAAAAAAGATATTCATTCCGAGGGTATTTCTGAAACAATACATGTTCTCAACTGGCCTTAACAAACTTTACAATGCAAGCATCTATAAATTTTCTGTATATATATAATCGAAATACCTACATGAGTTCTGTAAGACTGAAATTTCATTGAAGTAGTCATGGGTTCTGCAATATAATGTAGTGTACTAAATTCCAAACAATATCTCAAAGTTTGATAAAAATTCAAAAATTCTCCAAAACTAATACAAAATCTATAGCACTCCCCCCCCCCCTTTGGTGTCACCTTTAGGGGATGAATAATGTAGGCATGCCCATTAATAGTCAACTTGATATTAGCTATCTTATATTTAATATTATACATGATTTATTCAGATTAGATGCTGGCACATTTGGTACCATGGGTGTTGGTCTCGGTTTTGCTGTAGCTGCTGCCATCTGGTGTAGAGATCATGCACCAGGTAAAAGAGTTGTCTGTGTCCAGGGAGACAGTGCTTTTGGATTTTCAGGAATGGAGATCGAAACACTGCAAAGGTGGTAAAATTATTTTTGATTATTAAATATCTATACATTATTTGATTTTCTTGCCACATAATAATCATTGCTAGGTTGTTGTTCTATACTGTATCTTTTCCCAAATCCAATCCATTCGTTTCCATTTAAAAACTTGTTAGCGGATACGCCACTTGTTTAATAGGTCGTTAGTCAAGGAAAAACCTAAAGGATATTTACATCCTAGTTTTAATTCATTTAAGTTGAAGGTATTCACAGTAATATAGGTAACACAGAGTATAATGGTATCCTGCCAAACCATGTGGGTTAAAATGTCTATTTTTCAGAGATTACTTTTAACTAATTTCTTCAACTTCCCAAATGTATAGGCTACTATATCATCAATTTATATTAAATCTAAAAAAGCAAATTCTGGACCAGTGATCTTCTCTAAAAACCTAATGCCACTGTTATGACCACATGGAGGATGGGATAACCCTGTGTTTTAGAGTGTCACGCTTTGACCTCTGGCTTGCGGTTGTTTGTGGTTTCGATCCTTGGTGTGAGTGTATATAGCTTGGAGATACAGGTGTCTTCTCACAGTTCACTCAAGGTACTCCTACAAGAAAGACCCCTGCGTGTGCACTAATATAATGAAAATAAGACAACTTGTCTGCTGTATCACCCTTGTTGAAAGTGAAGGTTAAACAATAATTGAAGCAATTATAATAACCCCTTCATTCCAATACAGATTATGTTTGTCCCAAATTGACTGGGGTATCACGTGGCTAAGTGAGTAAGACGCTGGCTCGCAAGCCGGGAGGTCGGGTGTTCGATCCCTGCATTGGCCGAGAAAGTTCATCCAGATTTTCCAGCGTGGTTTCCCCTTGTCAGTGATGCAGAAGGAGGGCCTGACTAGGATGAAAAACTGAGGTCCCATGTACAAATTGGTGTGCACGTAAAAGATCCCTTGTGTTTGTGATGTCACCAGTGCCTCCATAACTAATAATATCCATTGGAAAGATAAGATACAGAGGTTTTAGTTGTCAGAGCAAAGAATGAACAGCTTTCACCAATTCAGTCCAAACATCAATATGTAACAGCTCGGGATTGCCAAGTTAACAGATCATTTGTCATAAATGACATCAAGAACACTAAATTAATGAGCAGGAGAACATAGAAACTTTATTAAATGTTATCTATCTATTATTAGAATATGAAAATAGGTAAGTCATCTCTTTTAAACCAATTGCATTAATTTAGTATCACAAATAATTGTTTGTGTTATAGTTTGTGTTCGTTAGTCCAGTTGGTGAAGAAAAGTAGGATGTTAAACCCCATTTCATTCATTTGTTTTATTTTGTTATACAGATATAATCTACCTATTGTACTGATTATATTAAATAATAGTGGAATATCATTTGGTATTGATCAGGATACATGGACATCTATGGAATCTGCTGGAGATATGACATTATTGTAAGTACCTATAATAGACCTTCACAGTTTTCAATTTGTTGTAGTCTTTATCCAGTTTAAATACTCCACATAATAAATCATAGGTGATAATCAATGACAAATGCTTTATTAAACACCAGGGAAAACCTCAATAGTGACTTATATAAGTGTACAATGATGATATAATAACAACAAAACACATACACATATGATATAATAGTGATTTTGCTAAAGCAGTGGACACATTAGCCGAATCGTTCGGCCGAATCAATCGGCGCCGAATTTTATTCGGCCAAATGGGTGGACACACTAGCCGAATGCTTCGCCCGATTCAACCTGCCGATTGCATCACCTTTCACGTCACATGATTAAACATGGCGGCGTCTATGTCTTCACTGTATCACCTGACTTCTCGATATGCGTGGTGATTGGCTAATGAATTCTATATTCGGCCGAATGCTTCGGCGAAGCGGACACACCAGGCGAATATAATTCGCCCGAATAAATATTCGGCCGAATATATCAAACCTGTTTGATTCGGGCGAATCATTCGACTGAATGACAGTGGACACACTAGGCGAATTTCGACGCCGATTGATTCGGCCGAATCATTCGGCTAGTGTGTCCACCGCTTTATGGAATCATCAACAAAGAACACATATTCCACATGTACATCTAGATTAGGTATAAACCAGGTAAACAGTTAGTGACAGGTGCAATAATGACATAATATATAGCTTGAATATTTACTTTATTCTAAAAATTCCATTACATCTAGAGATAGTCACAACAGGGCCTCTTTTTGTCTCAAGTTTTGTTCATGGTTTTATCCAGTATACTTTTCTAATTTTACTATAATATAGATCCCCACCTACATCACTGAAACCTAACACTCATTATGAAAAAGTAATGGAGGCTTTTGGTGGTCGTGGATATTGTGTAAATAATATTGAAGAATTGAGAAGAAGTCTGACAGAAGCTGTACAGATCAAAGATCAGTCATCTTTAATTAATGTTTCTATCAACCCAATGGCTCAACGTAAACCACAGGTATAAACAAATCACATCTTTAATTAATGATTTTATTAACCAATGGCTCAACGTAAACCATAGGTTAAACAAATCACACCTTTAATTAATGTTTCTATCAACCCAATGGCTCAACGTAAACCACAGGTATAAACATAATCACATCTGACGCGGTCCACTGGCAGAGATTCTCATAACTGAGAAATAGGACATACTGGTATTGTTTGTTCAAAATAGCAATTCACCATTTTTCGTCTTATAAATTTCAATAAATCTGGTACCTTGACTTTTTTCTAACAATATTTATTTCTTTCTCACCTTTGCAAAATGAATTAATCTAAACATCTTGGCATCTAAAATGGGTTAATTGTATGATATCCAGCTTCCATTGAAACTTACCAATTAAAGACAATATAGGCGAACAAATGCTGAAAACCATTGTTAGGTTCTTTCACCAGGGCATATGAATTTTACACTAATAATCTTAAACCATACCAATATTATCACTGTAAATTTTCTAAAAATGTAACATTATTTTTTTCCAGGATTTCTTCTGGTTAACAAAGTCCAAGATGTAATCAAGAATCAAGATTATTTTAATTATACATATTTGTAGGCTAAACAAGAAGAGAATTAGAATGAAATTGTCTACAATTCTGTAAATTGTTAAAGTTTTGTTACTGATTTTGAAATTTTTATATTTTTATGGACAGTCTAGGATAAGATAATATCTAATTACCTCCCTCTAATGCTTTACATTAGCTCTCCAACTTTTGCAGTTAATACATTCACAATTGGGTGGACAGTTTTCGTTTCAGTAAACAATTGAATGCATATGGCGATTTTCAGTCAGCAATAAACTACACTGTTCAGACTTGTAATGTATGCATCCTATGCAGCCCAATGCTGGCTAGATCCAATACCTGTAGAAATTTAACGAAACTTGGCAAACCTTTCAAATTATAGACCGGGAGCCCAGCAGGTTAGCCTAGCTGAAAAGTGAACCAATTTTCACATATATGGTATCAAAGCATGCATATCTGGTATCATCAAAATGTAAGTCTGCCGGGTATCTGGTGGTGGGTGTGGCTGTGAAGGCTGCGATACTGGGCATGAATTCTTGGGCTAGATTAGCTTAAAAGTGTACCACATGAAAATAGTACAATCAGTGTACCTTACATCTTCAAGTATTACAAACACATTTTGACTGACATTTCTAGTGGTGGGGTACCTCCGACAGAGGTATCTAATTGCCAGACCACAGCTAGGCTAGATTAGCTGAAATCTGTACCACTTAAAACTGCTTTGCAGTTGTTCATCACCACCACAAGAATCATGAATGATCACTGCCAGACAGTTTATGCGGTGGGTTACCCCTAACAGAACAGACACAACCAATATGCCACGCCTCCCAGCTAGGCTAGATTAGCTTAAATCTGTACCGCCTAAAACTGCTTGGAAGTCATTCAGCACCACAGGAATCATGAGTGATCACTGCCAGACAGTTTTTGCGGTGGGCTACCCCTAACACACATGCCCAAAATGCCAGCCCCGCCCCCCCCACCTAGGCTAGTTTAGCTGAAGCCTGTACCACCTAAAACTGCTTGGAAGTTGTTCAGCACCACAGGAATCCTGAATGATCACTGCCAGGCAGTTTGTGCGGTGGGTTACCCCTAACACTAACAGACACGCCAAAAATGCCACGCCCCCAACTAGACTAGTCTAGCTGAAGCCTGTACTACCTAAAACTACATGGAAGTTGTTCAGCACCACCACATCAAGCAAGAATGACCACAGCCAGACAGTTTGTGTGATGGGTTACCCCTGACAGTCAAACCCAAAATACCTTGACCCCACGACCCCAACTAGGCTAGATTAGTTAAAGTCCGTACGATCTACAATTAATTGGACGTTGTTCGGCAAAACCTCAGGAATCGTGGATTACCACTGCCAGACAGATTGTGCAGTGGGGTACCCTTGACGACCATCCAAATTGCCACGCCCCGCAACTAGGTTGATTAGCTGAAGTTGGTACCACCTAAAACAGGAATCAAGAATGACCACTACAAGACAGTTTGTTCGTGGGGTACCAATGACAAAAAGCCCAAAATGTCAGCCCCGCAACAAGGCTACATAAGCTGAAGGATGATGCCACACTGGGGAAATTTTAATATTCAAGATGGCGGTCATGAGACATTTTCTGGTTATTTACTTTAATTTAGTGGGCTAAAATTCGGGAGAGATTCTCTCGAACCGTGGTATGAAAATAGTTTCTATAAGAATTTGACCCATTGAATCCGACGAGCTTGGGTGTTCCTCCTAAAAGTTACTGCTAATTCCATAAGGAAGCCAAATTCACAATGGGGGCTCATTTTTGAAGGAAACTCATAATGTTCCCTAAAAGGGCGTGTAATATATTGAAATATAGGTTTTCGTTGTCAATTACTTCAAATATAAACATAAAAAAACATGTTTCGACCAAAAGGTATTCCAATGTCATAAATTTCTGAAATAAAATATTGTTTACACAAAAAGAAAAGGTATTCCAATCCGATGATATTCTGTCAAATTATACACGGTCAAACAGAATCAACCATCGGGCCATCGTGAGTCGAAAGCAAATGTGTATAAAAGCTAACTTTGGCTTGTCGAACCTCATGTAAAACTCTAACTTACGCTCGCTTGAATCACTGGAATACTTGAATCAGTATAACAGTCTGATTCTTCCGCTTTCATCATTAATATGCAACAGGGGTGAACCTTGTCTTGACAGTTATTAGGTCACTCATACGCGCCGGTAAAGCTGAGGTTGGCAAACATTATCCATCCCTTCTTCCCCTCTGTTTTTTTGGTAGAGAGGGTGTCATAGTGAATCATAATGTATGCTTGACAATTCGCTCTATGAATTCGGCGAATCAGAAAACTTATAGTTAAAGTAGCTAAGTCTCTAACTCAATATCATCCAAAATCTTCAACATTGAAAACACGATTTATTTGTCGGTTTAAATCAACATTGATGTTGTGATTTTACCGGGAAAAGATGACCTTCTGATATCCAATATCTAAGACAAAATAAACATTTTACAATTGGTACACGAATCGTGTACCATAATGCGTTTCAGCGCTATTTGTAATAAGGGACACGTAAAACGAGGCTAGGCATATTCCACAAGTCATGTCAAACGGTAACGCTATATTCTTATCTGGAGAGCATACCCAATAAATACTATCGGCGTAGACTGGAAAAACCAGAAGCTAGAGATTGAAATTCGATTGAGAATACTGGCGTATTTCGCCGAACCTAACTGATTAGAAATTACAGTAAAAACAGAAACGATTGAATGTAAATCAATTTATATACATTCATATTACATTATTGTATGCGTTGCGACCCATTTGTGTCAATTTCTAGGTCCTAAATTTTAGCGACTTAGCTCCTTTAAACTATAACTTTCGTTATGTCTCGCCAAAATTGGCCGCCATTTTGATTATGACCTCAACCTGGAATACCTTTTGGTCGGAATAGGTTTTTATGTTTATATCTGAAGTAACTGACACTGAAAACCTATATTTTAATATACTGCACACTTTTGTTAGAGGACTATATAATGGGTTTCCCTCCAAAATAAGCCTCCATTTTGAATGTGGCCCCCTAGCGGAATTAGCCATCACTTTTAGGAGGAATAGCAAAATTCATTGGATGCATCGGGTCAAATTACGATGGAAACCAGCTTCATACCGAGTTCCGAGAGAATCTGTCACGGCTTTTACCCAACTAAATTAAAGTAAATAACCAGAAAATGTCTCTTGTCGGCCATCTTGAATATTTAAATTTTCCGAAGGGTGCCAGGGTGGCATTACCCAGATTCTGAATCTACACATATTAAAGACATATCCACTCAAAACCTACATTTCAATATATTGCACATCTTTTTAGTGAACTTTATTAGTTTCCCTCTAAAATGAGCCTCCATTTTGAATTTGGCCCTCTAGCGGAATTAGCCATCACTTTCAGGAGGAATACCCTAGCTCATTGGATTCAGCGGGTCGAATTCTTCTAGAAACATATTCAAACCGAGGTCCGAGAGCAGCTGCCACATATTTTACCCAACTAAACAACCAGAAACCGCCTCATGTCGGCCATCTTGAATATATAAATTTCCCCAATTCTGAATCTGCACATATAGAAGATATATAAACCACCAATAAACATTAGGTGGGCTATATTTCCATGTCAAGGCTTAAAATGGGGTTTGGCAACTGGACTTTATGGTTCGTATGTCAGTGGTCACTGAGTTGAACAACCACTTATTATTCTTCATAGGATTACTTAATCTTTAATAGATATTACATACTCATGAAAATATGTAATACTCAGAATTCTCAATAAGTCTAACCCAGCTGATAAAGCCAAATTTTTGGGAGGGGGCGCTTGGCTGTCGTGTCTCTTGGGAGAACCCCGTCAAACAAACTCTCTAGCAATGGGCAGTGTGATCCCTGGGGTGCTGAACAATTTCCAGTCACTCTAGCCTAATTGCGAGACGTTTCATTTTTGGCGTGTCTGTTGGGGGTAACCCACCGTACAATCTGTTTGGCAGTGATCATTCATGATTTCTTTGGTGGTGCGGAACAGCACCAAAGCAGTTATAAGTGGTACATATTTCAGCTAATCTAGCCTAGTTGCGGGGCGGGGAATTTTGGGCGTTTATTTCAGGGATACCCCACCGCAATATCTGTCTGGCAGTGGTAATTCATGATCCCTGTGGTGGTGCTGAACAACTTCCAAGCACTTTTAGGTGGTACGGACTTCAGCTAATCTAGTCTAGTTTGGGGTGGGGGGGGGGCTTGGTATTTTCGGCGTGTCTGTCTGGGTAACCCACCGTACAAATTGTCTGGCAGTGATCATTCTTGATTCCTGTGGTGGTGCTGAACAACTTCCAGGCAGTTTTAAGTGGTACAGATTTCAGCTAATCTAGCTTAGCTGTGGTCTGGCAATTACATAACTCTGTCGGGGGTACCCCACCACTAGAAATGTCTATCAGAGTGTTTTTGTAATACTTGAAGATGTACGGTACACTGCCGTACCATTTTCATGTGGTACACGTTTGAGCTAATCTAGCTCAAGAATCCATACCCAGTATCGAAGCCCTCACAGCCACACCCACCACCAGATACCCGGCAGACTTACATTTTGATGATACCAGATATGCATGCTTTGAGACCATATATGCGAAAATTGGTACAATTTTCAGCTAGGTTGACCCCCTGGGCTCCTGCTCTATTATAGTATTCAAACTATTGACACTTAGTCCATGAACTTGATGCAAGCAAAGTTTGTTCAGGAGATATCTTTCTTACAGTGCATTTATATTTATAACAAGTTGATTTTCTCGCTTTCATTGTCAATTTAAATCTATCACCCAAATCTTATTTGTAACTATTTGGTCAGTGTGTGTGTTTTTATTTCCCAAAATACAATTTCCTCTATTATTACAAATTAATTTTTACTAAAATATTTACACAATTTACAATCATTAAATTCGTTTTTACAATCATCTGTTATTATTTTTACAATCATTTGTATATATAATTCAATTAACATGGTATTATTATTATAAAAAATATAACCAACAATGGAAATTAAAATTTAATTATAAAATCAATTTACAGCAATAATTTTTTTTTCTCCTATTCTCAGATGGTAAAGTAAACATTTATGCAAATAACAACAAACAGTGTGATTATTAAAGTATAATGTGCACTAATAATGACAAATACAAATTAAAATATATTATTTACATAAATTTACATAAATTATTATTCTTATCATTATTTTTTCATTATTTTCTATTCTCAAATGAATAGCTTAGATTAGTCTTGTCCTTAGTTACAGGAACCCATTGGTGTTGCTTAGATCTTACTTTCTACATACAAAATCTTGTGTTAATGCTGCTATAGTAACCGAGTCAATTTGAAATGTAAAACTAAAAACAATAATTTACTCATATTTGTTTTGAGGTATAAATTTTGAACAATTAGGGTTTTGACCTGTGTATTTATATACAAGATGAAATTCATGTAAATATAAAAGTGGCATCAGGTGTTGTAAAAATATTAAGCAAACCCTCCCTATGTAGCACATCCATTACAACATATAATTATATACATATCTCAACTTATGATATTAATTAGATGGTATATAATAATTTGGCCAATTTCTTTTATATGTAATATGAGCATTGTACAAAAATATAAATACAACATACCATAGGTAATAATAATGATAACAATATGTTACTCCGAAATGACCTAGTTTGTGTTCGGTGGACATTATGAAAATCGATTTATCTCTCTCTCTTGCACAAATAATATTATGCAGATATTACAAAGAAATAAAATTGTACCATATGTTAGTCCCGAAATGACCTATATCAAAAACAAGTATATTAAACATACATTATGCAAGAGCTAAATATGCCAATTGTAGGTCTTTCTTTAGGCCTGAAATGTTATCTAAATTATTAATTAATGATGATGAGGCAAGGCCCAAAATTCAATCGCTAAATTCTCGGTTCAGAATGGATCAGTTTGACTGAAATTTTCAGCAAATTCCCTTTACATTCCCTGATTTTTAACTAGTATAGTGATAACTGCCAGCTCTTTATCCAATCTCCCATAATGTATCTTTAAGGTATTAATACATGTTACATGTACATGTATAAACTTAATGATATTTTAAATATGTCCCTGTTCGCCAGTGTTTGCCTTCATACGTGAAAATTGTTTAATTAAACATATATTGCAGGTCTTTTGGGGGGCCTGAAATGTTATCTAACTTATTAATTAGACATTAATTAACTTATCCAGACCATAATCAACTCTCGATGTCAACGCTAGCCAGTGATATTTATTGGATTAGGATCCGATTTAATCATGAAATAGGTAATCAAGACTATGTTTTTTATCGTACCGACTTTAGTAATGATGATCAAGGCTAGGCCGAAAATTCAATCGCTAAAATCTCGGATCAGAGTGGAACAATTTGGCTGAAATTTTCAGCAAATTCCCTTTACATTATCTAGTTTTTAACTATTATAGTGAGAACTGCCAGCTCTTTAATGGAAAATTGGCCATTTATCAGTTTACAACAGATACAACACAACAATGACTTGTAATTTTTACATAACAATCCACTAAAATCATTTGTATAGTGTATACCAGTAATAAATTTCCCACCTAAACAGAGCTGCTTGGTACATGAAAATAACATTATTACCAAGTGATCGGTAGGCTATATTAAAATTTTGAAGGTTTCTAATAAAAGAGAGATTTCGGGACCAACATATGGCTCAATTTTATTTCAATAATTTGCATGCGCTTAGGGGTCTTTAGCAGTGGGAGGAAACCGAAGGACCCGGAGGTTGGACAGGCGACCCTACACCTTGCCACACCAGTTGACTCAATGACAGACCTTATGATACAGCGTGCACGCACTAACTATTCGCCCATCCAACCCCCCTAATAAAAACAGACTGATGTCAAGCCCTCAACACCCTCCCAATAAAAATCTGAACCTTGGTAATAATATATTAATTATGGACCCTGGTTATGCCAAGCACACTTAAAATATTTTTACAAAATGCTGGTCTGAACAGTATTAACATTTGCCCTAATGGTGCTGTGGTGAAGCCCTTCAAATTATTATATAAATCAGTGAAAGGCAGTTGGTGCATTGGTCAAACCATTTGACATATCAGAATAAAACGTAAAAGTATTCAATAAATCACTTACATTGTGTGTCTGCACCTGGTGTAAACTGTCACCTATAAATATTATCCTAGTCAACCTAAAGTCAAATTATGCAGCAACAGATGTCACATATTGTTCATTGTTATTTACACATTTTATTACTTTTTCAAAATGAAACAAATGTCCCCTAGCTTTGCGAGAATAAGTGGCATAAAGAACTGCACCAAGGCATACGGATCCAAATGAAATAAATACCAGAAATCCAAATAACTGGGGCTCTGGAGCTGCAACAACCATGGCAAATTTGAATAAATCCATTAATCTGTTTAAAGATTGTTGAACACCATTTACTATACCTCGTTCCTGTTCTTCAACATTCTCTAGAAACAACTGAGTTATTGTTAAATCTGCTGTCCATAGCCCTATAATAAAGATAATGAAAAGATAAGTTGGACATCAAGGGTCAGTTTGTGCATACACATACTACTGTTGTCGTCTTTATAAACAAATGGGTCTGTTTAGAATAAAATAATTTGTTTTACGTCATCTCTTTCTGTACACCCCATACTGATGTGTACCTGCTCTAAGCCAAATATAATTATTACATACATTGTAATACACAGTACACGTTACACCTAGCACATTCATGCATGTAACCTAGTATCTTGCAATCACATGATCAATCCTTCAGTGCCCCTTTTAATTATTGAAACAATGTGTGTTTTCTTTTTCGTGACCATTTCCCTTTGAGTTTGGTTTAGTAAAGATCTTTATATTACAGGTTATGAATTTTTTGTGATACTTACCAAATCTAGCTGTAATGATGCCAGTCATCAATAAGGCTATAGATATATAGGAGAAAGAACTGTCTGATTCATCAATACAAGAGTTTGTGACATTATCTGTAACAACTGTCACATTTATTAATGTCACATTAAGCTGGTTTGTTGCATTATAAGCACTTTCTGCAGATACAGAACAATTTGTCTCTATAAGGATCGGTTCTTTGCTTCTGTGCAAAATATCAAAGGGACTTCCAGGCATAAAGACGGACACAACACAAGGGATGAGGCATGTAATCTGTGCTGTTAGTGCGAACAATCCTGTTCTCTCAAGGCCTATCCTTCGTCTAATAAAAGGATAAGCAAACGTCCCTACGATACCGACGATTGCTGCCCCACCCATCAGAAACCCAAGGATTGATTCAGAGATGTTCTGTGAGTAAGCATAACCTGAAATGTAAAAGAGAGCATGAACATTAGAAAGTTTTCAGTAAAAGACTGCATGGTTCATTCTCACAGCTAAGAAGATGCTGTATATTAGGACATGCAAAGTAAGATATTTCTTTTGGTACATTTACAGGTAGGCAGTCAGACTTCACTTATGATCCATGGCATATATTTGGGGATTTTATGAAGTTATCTAGTATTTTATTTTTATCAGCATACTCGTGTAGAAATTATAAAGCCCTCTGCAATAATAACAGAAAAATCTCAAAGGGCTAGCACATTATACTTACCAACAGTAATGTTGTCAAACCCAAGAACTGTCATATACAGGCAGGCTAAACCAAGGCCAGCATTACACACGCCATAGTGAAGGTAGGTTCTCCATCCTCTATACAAGGTTATAAAACCCTTTCCAAATTTACAACCTCCATCTTTAGATTCTTTACTCACGACCTTTCCTTTGCCTGTTTTGCTATCATCACTGCAATCTTTCTCTTTATCCTTCTTCTCGTCGTCGAAATCAATATCTTTTCCATGTTTTGTTTCTTCTACAGCTGCTTCCTCTGCTGTAACTTGTATTTCAGCAGATGATTCTTCCGGTATACCATCGGTCCTATTGTCTTCAGAACTTATTTCTTTAGCATTAACATCAACATCAGTAGTTGCTAATGTTTCTTCCTTCAGCTCCACCTCTTCTACCACAGTTTCCCCTGAAGAAAATATCTAAATACCTTAAAGCGGAAATTGCAAATTTTTAAGTTATATTTTTAAAATTTATTAAAATAAAGCCTGAAAATAGATGGTATCCATAAACAGTCCTACCTTGTTAAAGAATAATCCTATTAATCCTATAATTCACTATTCCCAGCTGAGAAATTGGCAAAAATATCATTTTCCTCTTCTTTTTTAAACGTTTGAATATCGCCACTCCATGGTGGAGAATAGAAAACAAGGGAGGTAGTTGTGTTATTATTTCCTGTCTAAATGAATCTTAAGTGTGAGAATGACACCCATGATCGTATAATTGTGAGTTGACAACCTTTTGAGCAAAAGACATAGAAATAATTACGTTTTGACTTTCTTAGAAAATTTGCAATTTCCGCTTTAAGTCCCTGTTAGGGGGTGGTTAATTACCCAGCAGGACCTATGCGTCATGTTATATATATTCATTATGAACTGAATTTGTTGACCAATATCCTGTAACAGTTTGATGGGTATTGGAACCTGGAGAAATCAAGGCAATGAGAGCTTGTATACTCAATTTTGAATGCTAGATAGATAGCAATTACTGGAGTCAGAGAGTCGAGGATACGAGCTGCTAATAACATCCTCATTTTAAGAATGATAGATACCAACTACTACTATAAGACTAATTCAGATCCAAGGTAGGAGACTTGAATTAATTCCATTTCCCTTATTCCAATACAGATATATTTGACCTATCTGTATTATCATACTCGGCTTTTCACTTATCACGACAGGCGACAGTGACAAATGTTGTGTTAAACGCAGGGAATGCTTACCCTTTTATGAACACCTGGTAACTTTCGGTTGTGGAATTCCCCTCATGTGAGGAGTACACTTGCTCTCGTACTTGATTTTGCTGAATCAAGTGGGCTTGATTTTTGTCTGAAGTATACCCTTTTAGGTGTTACATATAACATAATAACTTTTTACTTACTGTCATCATGTTTAGAAAGATCTTTCTTCTTTCTGAGTGCCGGAACTGTCTGATACACTTTCCATATCAGGTAATATTCAATAAAGACTGTCACCAAATTCCAGCCTCCAATAAAGACCGCACCAAACTCTAACCCAACATACGTCATTATCTGTCCTGTAGCTATTGGAGCCAGGATTTTGGTTGCAAGATCAATTCTTCTTAAAGTTGACGTCATTTCTGAATAATAAAGAAAACGGTTACATAGAGAAATGTTTAGTATTCTGCATACTCGCGGCGTTTCGTTTGATTCATCCCAAAAGATGCCTTTCTTTGTCAGAACGTTTTGGGTTAAAAGCTCACACAAAGAAAATAATATCAGCAAATAACAATTTCCAGTCTTACAAACTGCCTTTAATGGTCGACTTTATGTTCTATGTGTCAAACAAGCCAACATATACTTTTCAAAAAAAGTAGGGGATATTGAAATGCAAATACCTATGCAGGTTGTGATATGATAAATAGTCATATGTATGTTCACAGATAAAGAACTTATCGCCCCAACAGAAGCACTGAGCTGCACATGTTTGCGTAGGGGGGGGGGGGGGGGTCATTGTCAAATTTTTACACTTCAAAGAAGGTAATAACAGACAGCTTTATGAATGACATTCATTAGGTTTATTAACTGCAACGTTTCAATGAGGTTACTCTCACCGTTATCAAGCAATGATACAATCAACTAATTAACAAAATAAGGCCGAAGCCATTCAAAGTCATACCTAGTAAACTATTAATAATCAATGAGTAACCCTTAAAGGGGGGTGGGGTGGAATGTACAAATCATGCTAAAACAACAACTATCATAATTAAACCCTTAGTTTCCATATTGCAAATAAAGATTACAACATTTAAAAGTAAAGATTAAATTATTTAAAAAAAACTATGAATGAGAAACCATGTTATTGTTGATACCATTAATGACCCTCTCCATTAGACAACAAGATATAACCAATCACAAATATTATAACAAAATAAAACGAAATGAAATGAAATGGAGTTTAACGTCCTACTGTTCTGCTCCTAACCTGGGCTAATGAAGACGGGCATACGCCATACAGTGTGCTATGAGGGAAATTTTGCCCGGACAGCGGCACTACGGCCTACTCTTATATCGAATTCCAACTGCCAAGGGATCTTTTACGTGTACACCAATGTGTACACGGGACCTCGGTTTTTCGTCCCATCCGAACGACTAGACAGCTTTCCTTCTAGTGGTCTAACTTATGCAGAGTTTAAAACCATAATAAAGGGAAATAAACATATATGACTCTGTTAAAAGGTTATCCAAAAGTTAAAACATTAAAACACAAATAAAACACAACTGCAACAGTACCGGTAAGGTTGTTCCATATGAGTGACAGCTCAAGGGTGGCGTTTGGGACTTGAACACGTAACAAGCACAAACCAATATATTATATTATAGACCTAAAAAAAGTCTTATTCCCTTTTCCTCAAGAGTTGTTATGTTCACAAGGAATAGTGAAGAGACATAAAGTTAACACATTCCACTCTTATGATCACAGTAAGTCTCGCACATTGACACTTTTACACGGAGCACGATTTAGTTAACGTTTCCTAAGATTAATGAGTCATATGCGTGTGGTAGATATACTCCAGTGTCCCGGTTGAGTTTAGGCTGGTTTCTTCTGATGTGAATGGCTTCAAGAATTTTCCTGGTTTTGACACTTCAAGGAAGGGTTGATGAGAACTGCCGCGTGCTGGTTTATCCTATCCATTTTTGCTTTCCTATCGGTTCTTGCATAAGATTTACTGTTCAGCGTATCTTTGCTTTAGTGTGTTACGTTTAATTTGATCGGGAGACGTGTTCGTCGACGCCAACGTCAACCGACAATACTACAAGAATTGGCCGTGGCACTGCAAAAAGAGTGGGCCAAATCCTGATTGCCCCAATCCTGATTGGACGGTTGATTAGGAGCATGCCACGACGAATTACTGAATGTCTGAGGATTGGTGGAGCAATTACTGATTATTAAAACAAAAATCAAAAACGTCCATTTTCATTTTTGACGGTGTATCTCTTTGCGAGTGAAATGGGGCCGTCAGATAAGCCACCCATATGAACTGTTTATGTTCAATGTGTAGGCAATTGGCCTGTTATTAACATACACTGGTTACCTCTAAGACAGCAGTGCATTTCCGCAGTTTTGTATTGTTTCTGAATATCCCCCACTTTTTTAAGAGTATATTATCACCACAACGCCGTTGGGTGTTTTGTCAGACGGATCGTCAACAAATCGGGCTGTCATTGACAAATAGATTTTTGTCTGTTTCGTCAACCGCCCAACGGCCGTCAAACGCTCGCTGTTTTTTTGTCTTTCAGATGAATGACACACAGTGTAGCTCGACAGATTGACTCTTTTTGGTTTGTTACGCATCGAATAAAAAATGAACAGATAAATAAGATGGTGATTATGTGACATACAAGTCATGTTAATACAAACAAAAACAAGGAATTGGGTTCAATTCACTCACCATCCCCGAATGGAGTGGATTTAAATAAAAAAAAAATTTAATTGCTCACGTGCTAGCATATCTTTATCTCTACCACAGATTTCCACAATCCAATCTTTTTCTACAGCAATAGTTCTAGCCATACTGGCCATGTTACCTAATATAGCCAGAATAATGATGACCGCATAGCTCAAGATTAACATCCAACCATTCCACTGGCTCTTGATATAAACCATGAACCACAGATGTACATAAACCACAGCAGCACAACATATTACAAATATATTCTGTAATGCCAACGATATCTGAGCAGCTGTAAAAAAGTAACAAAACAGCTTTTTTTTACGTGGTTATAATACGTTGAATTAAATTAAAAAGAATACGGTTTGACATTACATTCCCATTCTAAAAAAGGGAAATACTGTATGCATAATGAATGGGAGATATGTGCTATATCCAATATAGTTCTATGCGCTTCCAAAAACCTAGTCGGGTGTTTATCAGGCCCTCGAATAAAACAACAAGTTCGCCCGTGCTAGATCTAAAATCATTGCCAATAAATCCCACAGAGCAGGATTTTTTTATTCTTTAATTCCGCATTCTGAGATCGAAACGATCTGAATGTCGATAGAGCCCCTCCTTGGTCAAAGTACAATACCATCAAGCTATAAAACATGCCATTGAGAACTATGTCCTGTATCGTTCCCACAACCTTAAAATAAAATTATGTACTAAAGAATATCTCTATAAAAACGTACGAGACGAGTACATCCTGTATTACCTTCAAAGTAAATTTACGACTTCGATCGGGTCCCTCAAGATCATGAATATAAGTTCATAATATCAAAGATGCATTATGTAAGAGCTAATATGCATATTGCAGTTACATATGTTGGCTCCAAACGTTATATAAACTATTATTTAGACATTTATTGGATAATGACAAGCCTATAATCAACTCTCTAGAACATTGGGTGACTGGGATTAGAATGGATTAGAACACCAGCAAGATTTAAAAAATTAACAATCAAATAAATAAGTCTCGATTATCAAGTACCGATGCTACGATAATAAATAATTTAAGCTACTTCTTCAAACACTCATGGATTCGCTCAAAATATAGTAATTTCAATAAAAAAAATTCAATATATTCATTATAGCAAGATCGGCCAGCTCTTTGCCTAAAGCTTACATAATGCATCATTAAATATAGACTGTCAAGAAACATGCCCGTAGAATTGAATTTAAATAGCTAAGTATAATATACCTTTCAACCTGGCTGTTTTATCAACCCAATCCCCAACTAAGGCGCCGAAAAATAGGTAGGTGAAAGCAGAACACAGACCATATATAGCTGTCAATTGCAGGGATTTGGAGGCTATTTCTATCAGGAACAATCCCACACCGAATGCCCACATACGATCTCCCTGAAATAAAGATGTAAGAAAACATCCAGATACTAATTATAAATAGCTCTCCTTTCATTGTTTTCGAAACATTCAAATTTATATAGAAACGAAAATAATTTCAGTTTAAGAACCAGCAACCCAAATCATTATAATTATAATCGTTACTTCATCAGGGGGATTTATTGAAACAACCGACTAGATTTATAAGAGGGGCATCAACATCTACATATAAAGTCTTTTAAAATCTTGACAACTATTAATCAAGCAAATGAACATATACATGTATATACGACGCTAGTCATATTTATTTCCATTGTTGAATGTTCAATTTAAAAACACGACATAAAAAAAAACATAATTCAACATAAACGCACTATCGTATTCATACTCGAAAGACAATCTGATAAAACTACCTTAAAACATTAGAAATACAATCTCGCCAATCTACATTTAAACATTCAAATAACAACATCATAAAACTACATTTAACCATTGAAAAACACAATATAACACTACATATTAGAAGTATATAATCTCACAAAACTACATTAAAACATACGAATTAAAATCTCACAAAACTACATTAGAAATCTAACTCCTAAAACTGGAAACTTAGAAACGCAACTTATTAACATATTTAATGATCTGAAACATCCATAGATGGCGACAAGTTCTCAGCAATAATTACTGGTATTAGATAAACCATCACCTCAGATTGACCACAGATCTAAACCACTAACTACAAAATTGAACTTTCCAAGAATATAGTATAGTTAACTCAAGCTTGTTGGGTTAAATTGCAAAATCAAATGAAGATAAGCACATGCATTCACACACAAAAAAAATCCAAATTAAAGATTGATTAGTGCAACAAAAAACAAAAGAAAACTGTGATGTATACATAAGTGTGTGTTAAATGTTTATTCGGTATTTTATTAGTATAAGCAGAATGGTGTATAGTCTACGCTGGACGGCACAGTATTAATAATGGGATTAATGATTATTAAAAGCAAATTTGTTTGATAATCCATTTATGTTTATCTGGAAATAAAAGCTATTTTTATGAAAAGGGGAGTTATATGGACAAAAGGTTCCGTAGTCCAAAAGTACGAAAATACTGCGAGGTAATATGGTTAGATGGTTCGTTACTGTTACAAGTTCATATAAATTACTAAAATCACCAACTAGTAAGTCCAGAAATAGGGCGGTTTCAGAATATGTCCACGTTTTCTGCAATAATGTGATGGGCTGATTCTGGCATTCAGCTGTTGGAAAAGGGTATCGTTTTCTAGCCTATGAATGAATTCAGTTTTTATTTATTCCTTAAAATCAACTTGAAAATGTGACCGAGTTTGCACAACTATACCAAACTCAACGCCAAGCATACCCTGACACTTAATATAGAATAAGAAATGTTGTGCATTATGTTTAATTTGGCTTTAAAAAAATCTTTATCCAATTTCATAATAGATTTACTCAGTTGTATGATGTAGTTGTGCTGTTTAGCAGTAGTTTCTGTATGTATTTAATATTGTTTTGTTTCAAACCATTGTTGGCAAATTGTTCCAATTCGATGAGAATCATCAAAAACTATTGGGTTCTTACTGCCGCGGAGTTTAAAATGTCCTGTCTGGATAAGATAATGAGTGGCAGGTTTACAACTGTTTATTTTCCCGAGCGGTGTTGAGCAGTTAACAGAAATGAAATGAAATGGGGTTTAACGTCCTACTGTTTTGCTCCGAACTGGTCTAATGAAGACGGACATACGCCATACAGTGTGCTATGAGGGAACTTTTTTTGTCTCATCCCAAAGACTAGACAGCTGTCCTTCCTTGCCAGGCACTACGTCCTGCATCACTGACAAGGGGGGGCGAGTAATTAACAGACTAATTAATTACTCAGCACTATTCTGGAAAGAAAACAGTTGTAAACTCATTATTTAAACATACATTATGCAAGAGCTAAATCTGCTTAATGCAGGTCTTTCTATAGGCCTGAAATGTTATCTAAATTATTAATTAACTTATCCAGACCATAATTAACTCTCGGTGGCATCGCTAGCCTGTGGTATTTATTGGATTAGGTTCCGATTTTCTGCTCGACTTTCATTCATGATTTAATCATGAAATGGATAATCGAGACTATGTTTTTTATCGTACTGACTTTAGTAAAGATGATCGAGGCTAGGCCGAAAATTAAATCGCTAAAATCTCGGTTCAGAGTAGATCAATTTGACTGAAATTTTCAGCAAATTGCCTTTACATTATCTAGTTTCTAACTATTATAGTGAGAACTACCAGCTCTTTACTAATCTCCCATTATGTATCTTTAATCTAGACAGACCATCTTAAACTGCGCGACAATAGGAACCCAATAGTTATTGATGATTCTCAACGAATTTTAACAATTTGTCAATAATGATTTGAAACTAAACATTAATTACACAAACTCCTACTAAAACGCACAACTACATGATTTCTGACTTGAAGCAAAAAAGTTCCCCCTGTAACCAGGGTATTCAAATTTAAACAAACAAGTATTTTGTTAAATTGTGAATTTATATTGCGTTAAGATGGTTTGGGGTTTATTGGAATATTTGTTCCACACGGTTGGAAAGTTAAACCGCCAACTGAAATGGGTAGGTTGAGCAAAGAGATTAATGTTTTGAAGTACTTATGTGACTTAGGCTGTGGTACGTCGGTAATAAAATGAATGATTTCCTCTCATTTAAATGGCCGTTGTGTTTTTAATGTGCTCATGCAGTTCGCTAAGAATGCCACCTGGGGATTACTTGTGAGTACGTTAATGTGAGACAATTGGAATAATATATTGGATGGAACTATGTGTATAATATATATTATAATGATCGGGGTAATATTTTAAACATAAGAACGAGAGGAAAATAGCTTATAAATCGTATTCCTCAAATATTGTCACCGGTAGACCCTATACATCAATTTTCAAATTTGATCATGCATTTCAATTTTAAATGTCCTTTGACTATTTCAATTTAAAATCTACGCCGTCCAGTGTAAGTACTAACAGTATATTATTGTACAGTGCTTTTAAAGTGTCGTGTGGTATAATTGATAACACCCAATTCGAACTCACCCATGCCGACAAAAAATGACTGATGTACACAAAGAAGTTGGTACCTGTTAGCCATTCCTTACAGCAAGCTGAAATTAGAGTACATGGTTTACAATCATGATTATATTAAAATATCACACCAACTGTTGTCATTTCTATGCGTGTTAATGAATACTAGTACTGTTGGTTAGCTATTTGAATGCTCCAAATAAGAAGTAGTACAAGACATTCTTGAAAGGGGGAATACAACCTAGTTTGTGAATTAGCTCATAGCTAAATGGAACGCTAAGCATTGAATTCAGACGCCGACGTTAGGTGGTACATTTTGTATTAGATGTATTTCGAAGCTAAAAGCCACGGGGTCAAAAACAAGTTTTAGATATTTGAACTCGTCTTATTATAGGTGAAACTAGGTGTTCCAGAAAGAATTATTCCGGACAAAACAAACACAGGCAAAGAATGCACATTCTTTGTTGGGGTTTGTGATTTTATTTTGTTTCCAAATACCTTAATACGCCTAGAATTGACAACAAATTGGACATTGTTCCTTAACTATAACATACCCAAGACAAGAGAAAGTGACATATATAAACATACAGGTTCTCCTCTTCATACCACATATTAAAATAACTGAGAAAACATTAATTAAAAACAGCCAATAAAAATATCCAGTAAGCTTTCATTTAAAAATACAGTTTTTATCACTCAGACGCAGCATTAACAAATTCCAATTCTATTTACAGTATTTCAGACAATACGTCTTAATATGTGGTGTGTGCTATTGACAAAGAAAGCAATGTTTCGGCCTGTCAAAACAAAAATCATAGTTTCTGATGTGAACAGTAAGAAATCAAAACATTTCGTGACAAAACGGTAAGTAATGGCATTTATATTTTCGAGTAAACAAGATAAGTATAAGACTATTATAAAGAAATAATGATACAAACTTTAAGTGGGATCAACCTGGTCATTTGGGTGTGCAAAAATAAATGGCGTAGATGACTTCCAAAAAGTTTTAAAATGTTTCATTTATTAATATTATCAGTCTGTTTATCCAACTGACATTCTTTGTCAACATTTGTGATTACCGAAAGAACACAAGGCGCAATTGCACTTTCGGGCACAAGAGTTTCTCGTGGTCGTAGATTTACAGATGATTAAGGTTTACTAAGCTTTCAAGATACAAAGATGGCCCCGTATACAGCCGAGTGTACGAAACATGTCAACATCACTAACATGTCTCAACATGGAAATCTCCCAAGTGCCAGTGGGAGATTTTCAGAAAGTAAAACCATTGGCTAAATGGCGCTGTTACCGTATACATAATTGCTGAAATGTTAACTAAATCCGCCCATACAATCATGGCCCATAATCCATATAAACCTATATCTCCAGTTTTTGTCAAAATCGAATACAAATTGTGACCTGTATTGTATAGTCCGGTGGCTGAAGGGGGGGGGGGGAATCGCCACCCGAGCTGTGAATTTATAAGACCAAGTTTTTCTAGACCAGTTTTTTGCGTAGATTCTGAATCTGGGTGGTGATCAGGCGTTTGAGGGGGCGTTTTCGAGATATAGGGGGTCAATTGTCTACAATGGGGTGTCATTATGTTGACATAATGTATTAATAAAACATAAATTTCTAGGACTGCCCATCTATAAATAAGTGTTTATGATGCCCCTGGACAACTGTTTTGATTTATTGCGAGGTGGGGTGGGGGTAGCAGGTGTGCGCGTCTGGAGGGGTGGGGTGGGGATACAATTGGGGGAAAATGAGTTCACGTTGATTTAAATGATGATTTTCTAAGAGCTTGATGAAACATCTCTATTTATGTTTATAAGATTCCTATTGTATGGGGGTGGACGCCGGGGTGAGTGCCCACCGTGGGGGGGGGGGGCGGGCGGGTGATGGCGGGTGGCAACATGTAATTTTGTGGACAGAAATCATTTCGTTAACAATTGAGCTTAAAGTGGTATCTCATTAGCGTTTTCGTTCAAAATATTAAATAATAATGGTACTTTTCAAGAGATCTGGAAATGTAAATCAAAAACACAGTAACTCAGAGATATGTTTAGTTATTAGTTTATTCTTAGTCTTCATCAGAAGATTCAAAATCAAAAGTTCATATCGGCGAGATAAATATTTTCTTGGTTGCTGGCCAACAGCTCGTATATCCTTTGGATATGCTTCAGAAACCAATTCACATTGTAAATCTTCATTCCTGCCATGCAGCAAAAGACCACGTTTACGGCAAGGTGGTAATAAAGAAAGGTCTGTTATTTTTTCACCCAGAAAATCTTTTTTCTAACGTCATCTAGTGATGTAAGTCGTCTTTCGCGATATTTTCTACCTTTGTTCGTCTCTTTATCGATCAAAATTTGTATATTTGGTTCATCGTTTGCGAAGAGAATGATTGGGATGTCTATTTCGCCCGAGCAAGGAGGCAAAATACAATTTGTTTCAGCATCTCCATTAATTTCAATGCAAAGAGGAGTAGGTAAGATATTTTGGTGTCCCCGTGGGTTGTTGTCAGTTCTAGGATATCCTCGACACTTTCAATACTAATCTTGATATTTGTTGATCCAATCAAGATTAGTATTGAAAGTGTCGAGAATATCTCGGCCTACGGTACATGCTTTCAGTGGTAATGACTATCTGTCTTTCTTTTTCAAGATAATCCCAACTTTCTAACAATTTTTAAAGAGCTGGGATAGACAAATGATGCTTCTGATGACGTAATTGCTGGTTTAGAAAAAAATGTTTGTACATGTACCTTGTACGGCGAAAACCGACTTACATCAGTAGATGGCACTAGAAGAAAGATCTTCTGGAGAAATTTTAAGTGCGATGAAAAATAACAAAACTTTCTTTCTTTATTACCATCTTGCCCGAGTAGTCTTTTGCTGCATATTAAACGCAATAATTATGTTGCAGCAATATGGAGACAGGTTGCAAAATTAATGATCGAACAAGATGACTCTGCGATACAAGGCTGGAATGAAGATTTACAATGTGAATGGGTATCTGAAGCATATCCAAAGGATATACACAGGCTGTTGATCAGCCATCAAGAAGATATCTATCCCGCCCATATTATAAGAATATCCCGCACATATTATAAAAATAAACTAATATCTAAACATGTGTTTTTATTTACATTTCCAGATCTCTCGAAAAGTACCATTATAATTTAATATTTTGAATGACGATATTGGTACTGAACGAACACTCGAGAAAACACTTTTCAGGTCAATTTTGAACCAAGTGGTTTCTGTCCCCCAAAATACATTTACCCTCCCCCATACAATGGTAATCGTATACACATATTTAGAGATGTGCAGTGGAATTAAAAAGTAATGTTTTTACCAAGCTCTAAAAAATCATCAACGTGAATTCACTTCCCGCCATTTGTACCCCCCCCCCCCCCATCCATACACGCACACCTGCTACCCCAACCCCACCTCCCCACAAATCAAAATAGCTGTCCAGGGGCATCATAAACACTTATTTAAAGGAGCTAAATCGCTAACATTTGGGACCTAGAAATTGACAAAAGTGGGTCGCAAAGCATATAATACTGTAATATGAATGTATATAAACTGATTTACATTCAATGGTTTCCGTTTTTACTCCAATTTCAAATCAGTTATGTTCGGCGAAATAAGCCAGCAGTCTCAAGCGAGTGCAAATTTCTAGCGTCTGGTTATTCCAGTCTACATATGCCGTTTGATTTGGTGCAATGTGTCTAGCCTCGTCCCTCGAGTCTCTTGATACAACTGGGGCTGAAGCGCATTATGGTCGCGATTTGTGTACCAATGGTAAAATGTTTATTTTGTCTTAAATATTGGATATCAGAAGCCCATCTTTTCCGGGTAAGATCACAACATCAATGTTGATTTAAGCTGACAAATTAATCGTGTTTTCAATGTTGAAGATTTTGGATGATATTGAGTTAGAGACTTAGCTACTTTAAAGATGGGCAGTCTTAGAAATTTATGTTTTATTAATATATTACGTCAACATAATGACATCTCCCCCCCCCCCTCCATTGTAGACATTTGACCCCCTATATCTCGAAAACGCCCCCTCAAATGCCTGATCACCAACCAGATTCGGAATCTACGCAAAAATCTGGTCTAGAAAAACTTGGTCTCATAAATTCACAGCTCAGGTGGCGATTCCCCCCCCCCCCTTCAGCCACCGGACTAGTAGAGTGTCCACAAACCAATGTACAAATGTGAACGGACGTTCAGATGGACAGAGGCGATGACATAATACGCCCAGATGAAAATGTTGGCGTATAAAAATTCAATAATGAATTGTGTTATGTTTTGAAGATAGTCTGAAGGAAAACTTTTAATGGCTAACTTTAAGTATAGCAAACGTTCAAATCCGGTGTCAACTGCAAAAATCCTACTTCAAACACAAGTATGTGTAACACACCGAAATACGTTAATTTTCATCTTGTTGTGAAATGTTTCATAGCAGTCAACCACTACATGGCCGAACATAAAACGAATGAAAAGTTCTATCCAAACAAAGTGAACCGATTTTTATTTTTATCTTTAGAATAATATTCAAAGAGCAAGCTTTGTTTATCTTCAGTTCAAACGATAAAGAGGGGTTTAAAATAAGCTATGCCTGTTCCCCAATCCCTATTCAGATACAAATCTGAATAACATGTTTAAAAATTATGGGGAAAAAACCCCCAACATAAATGTTTTCTGATGACGACCATGATTAATGTTGAATTATATTACTAATTAACAAATGAAAATCCCCAATCATTGATTCACCCCGAACGTTTATGCTATTTCAACACATGCGCAAAATATTCGACAATGTTGCATTATGTCGAGTTTGAAAGAAGCGATTATTTATCTTCTGAACGCTAACCCCAAGTTGTAAAATACCAACACTCTAACGCAAACTATACAGAGATATCAAACATACACTACTTTCCACAAGTGTTTACAAAAGAGAGTAAAAATGAAATAGTTCTCGTAAATAATGGTTCATTCTGTGTGGAAATCGTTTATCCTGGTCCCATGCAACAATCTGAAATCTTGAAGAAATGCAATCAGATATTCCGAAAGGGAGATATATATATATATATATATATATATATATATATATATATATATATAGAGAGAGAGAGAGAGAGAGAGAGGCGACCCTACTCCTTGTCACGTACAACCGGGGTTTCGAAACCACGCCAGTTGACTCAATGACAGGCCTTACAGCACACACGTGCTAACCACCCGGCCACCCCCCCCCCCCCTATTTTCGAAAGGACAGCCACTAGTAGTTCCCGAATATTTTGCAGTAGATAAATAATTTATCAAAGTTCTTTAGCTGAGCTACGTAAATTCGTTCCGTATTCCCGAAACCTGGGCCCTGTTTCTCGAAATTTTAACTAAAGATAAAATCCAATTTTAGTAGATACTTCAATTTTGATTGGCTAAGCACTAAAATCAATCTAAATTTCCAATCAAATTACTAAAATTTGGATTTTATCTTAGTTACAATTTCGTGAAACAGGACCCAGGCCTTCATTATAAGATCTTAGAACTGATCTACGACATTAAGTCGAATAGTAAAGTAAGAGCAGCTTATATTCTAATATGAAGTAAGTTTCGGTCTCTACGATATCAGAGAGATTGACAATAAAATCAAGCGTGTAGTGTTATCAAAGGTTTCGAGGCAGGAGAAATACAGACCTACTGACAAAGATCATGGTTGAGACAATTATACGATCTCATAAAAGTTTGGGCAAATGAAAATATTGTTGTTTCTATTTCCTAATACACTAAACTTTATAGTATTAAATATCCCGGAAAGTGTTAATCTGATATGCTGCATCTTCTTGGCCATTTGCCCCGTTTTCAAGATTTACTGTTAAGGACTACAAGACCAATTCAATTCTTAAAGTTAAAAATATGGTGAAAATAAATGTGCCACGATCGATGACAAGTTGTTTATCAATATCTTCCAAAGCTTCGCCAAATAGAAGTTTTAAGCTTGTATTTACTGAAAGGACTTGGCGATGTTTACTAAATGAAGTTAAGGTGGTGGACACATTCACAGAACCATGTCAGTAAATAGACTCAACCATGTGCTACTCTATTAACAAAAACAATACAGTTTTCATCTTGGTTTTGAGAGGCAATCATTAGATTTGTTGTTTACAACTTTACGACTTTATAGGCGTTTGTACCCTTTAAGTCATGTATCACCATTCGTCCGTTTCAACTGGGGGTCGTTATCAGATAGAAGACGGTATTTATTCTTTGATGCGACTGAACGAAAATCGCGGACTCTGAAGTTTATCAAAAAACAATCAAACGATGTATCGTCTATTATCTTAACAGTGTCGCAATTCCCTGAATATAATTCTCGCACTTCAAGTCATCAACCAAAATAGAATTAGCGACTCATATGATTGTTTTTATTCACGATAAGCCATGTTCGACCTAAAGACGATTCTGAGGATGTCGATTAACACAAAGTAACATACTCATTATTTTTATTCTTTTGTGCCACCAATCGTGGCACGATCTTCAAAGAAATTAGGTAAGTAAAGGTAAGTAAGGTATAATTTGAATCATGGTCAAGTTATACGATTATACACAAGAAAATAAAGCGGTATGGTATATATTATGGGCTTAAATGTCATCTCGATCGCATTAAGTGTTTCGCAGCCTCATAACTTTTTCTCTAATAAAATTAGGCCAAATTATTCCTTGGTAAATATGCTTGACCTGTTGACGCTACAGAAGTGACAATATATATAGTTTAGCACTTTCACTACCCTCTGTGGCTCACAGATACGTTAAACATGCGATATGTAATACGAACAAAAACGATCAATGGTTGCATTTAACACATGGGGGCCAATATGTAAACTGGATATGTCATTTTAAAAGTAATGATCTTTTAATTTATCTCTGAAAAAAATAATATATCGTTTAGTGGCGCATGAGAGTTAAACTTTATCCCTGAAGTGTGGGTAGAGAAACTGATTTTGATGATTGCATAACCTTAATAACTTACACAGAAATGATTTCACAGCTTTGACTTTGGCGACAATTTTGACTTCATCCCCTTTATTTGTGTGTGTATCTTCCGTGTTAATATTCCCGCAGTTTCCCACTTGGTGTGGTTCAGTTTGGTTCGATCCTTGTTCAATATCCTCTGAATGAAAAGCTTCGTTTGTCACACCTTCCATTTCTTTTGTCAGTACCTTCTTGTCACCCGGTGTCTCATTTATGAAAGGCATTTCGAATCGTACACGGCTTTATCCCGAAGACAAACTGTTGACAAACGTCACCAAACTAAACGACACCCTTAGCTTTTGCACTTGTTTTTCTAGGAAGAACTTTACCTTAATGTTACGACTTGACTCCTAAGTAGCTGAATTTTAACTTCTATAACGTATTCTTTCGTACGTGGGTAAACCGTCAGTCGGTTGCTCTAATACTTCTTAAGAGTTGGCTACGTGAGGTTCGGGTTTTTGACATAATATATTTTCCTATACGATATGCAGACTCACGAACGGGAATTTAATCATATGCCAGCTACATCACCTAAGCTAGGGACCGTGTTGTTTTTTTTGCAGCCGAGAGTGGACACGGGTAAGGGCCGGGGGCAGACGAAAGTGAGAATAACAATGGTAAGTATCTACATGTAGCACAAGGGTGTCAAGCCAGATCCGGTCCGCCAAAGGTTTAAATGTGGCCAGTTGAACAAATTTCAACAAACTGACGTGTCGATAATTCTTAGAAACTAGCGGTGAAAATCATTTATTATTGTTTTCCGGTTTTAGTAAAACTCTTACCTCTGTACTGTGTGTCATAGATATCCAAGTTCTATGTAATACAAGACAACGTTGTGTTCCATATTATATCTTGACAATTTGGAAACAAGTCTAAAATATTACCTGCATCAAGGACGTTTGGCTTTGTTTTTAGAATCCATTACAGTTCAAGGACGTTTGGCTTTATCTTGATATTTTTGTACATCTTCGGCCCATTTGATGTACATTTTGGGTTCATGTGGCAGCTGAATCGAAATGGGTTTGACGCCCCTGATCCAGAACCTTTGGACCCGTTGCACAATACACACAGAAATCCGACATGTTATTATCATCTCGGTTAATCTTACGTGTGTATGCCACGTTATGTGTCGAGTGCAGAGAGTCGCAAATATTTTTGTATTTTGGACTATGTATCCGTAGACCACAAAAATCTCTTCTTTGATTGGCATTTAGTAAATGAACATATTAACACAAGGTACAATTTTATGGATACACAAATACTGAGTTTAATACTAAGCGACGTTTCAACGAGTATACTCTCGTCTTTATCAAGCAAAAAACTCATTTGTAATATCCGCGTCAGACCGGGGTGGCACCCTCACTGCGCTGCCACGATGGAAAATTGTCAAGATCGCCATAAGCGTGGTAAAAGCGTGGTGAAAACGCCAGATGTCGTAATGTGGTCTCCATGATCGTCACTGATCGCCGAGTCACGGCGTTTGTTTTGAGCATGTCAAAACAAACGCCAAGGTTCTGAGATCTGACCTTGAAAGCTGTGAGAACGCGATGGGATCGGTAACATCTCCACGAACGTAGTAAACGCGCAGTTTCACACTGCGAAAATTGTAACATTTGCAACGGCGACTTCATGGCGTCTTCACCACGACCCGCGCGTGTCTGCCACGACCCTACCAAGAGTCCGGCGTCCTTATGGCGTTATCATGGCGATGTTACGATGATCTCACCACTGGGGCTCCCAGTGCACCTTTGGCGATCTTATGGGTTTCCCACTGCGTTTATAGAATTCTTAATACGACTGTGGCGCGGTTTCCAAGCTTGCATTACGCTCCTATGGCGACCATGCCTTTCACGTGCGACTTGCAATAAAAACAGGAGATTCAAAGTTCATCTTGAAATTTCCAAAAATCTGACCATCTTTATGTAGTCGCCGTGATCACGTGTCTGAAACGCACGTGCATTCGCGATACACGTAAAAGACGTGTGGTAAGAATCCCATGAGCGTGGTTAGAGCGCCGCGGGTTCATCGATGATCGCCGTTGCCAAGTCAATAGATCTCAGTAGAAACGCCATAAGCACGGAGAGGTCGTGACGGGCGCGTTGGGTTCACGTTTGCCGGCGACCTTGTTCATTTTCCGGTCGCCGTACGGTCGCAGCAGCGCAGTAAGAACGACCTGACGGGAATATAATGAGCTATTTCATTTTCCAATCTGATTTAAAATGCAGATCTATATTTCATTTCGATTTTTTTTATACTTCCGATGACCTCCATTACATTTAATTGGCTTATCTCTTACATCAGCAAGAGCGCTGGTAATTAAACCACAATTCCAGATCCTTTGAAAGATCCTTTGAACTATATAAAAAAAATAGGATCTGTGTTTTCTTATTTAATGATTTTTAGTAGTAATAAATACTGGTTAATTGGTTAATGTTTTTGGGGCTGCTACTGCGGATGACTATAGGATGTTGCTCAGAATCATCGCTTTGTGGATCAATCGAGCTCTGGCAGTAAGCTCCACCAGTTTGTGTAAGATCATAGGGGTTCTAAAAAAAGATAGAAGAATTCCAAATACGAAATTAAACTTTCATTATTTTTTCTGTTTCAACCCAATTAATGTAATTAAACGGAGTTTAACGTCATGGGTTTCTAAAAATAATACGAAATGAAATGGGGTTCAACGTCCTACTTTTCTGAGCCGACTGGGTTAATGAAGACAGAAATTCCAAATAAAATATATACAATGATGACAGTTCAAACGTTTAATTGGCAGCTTATGTCATTCATAATGAAAACAACCTATTAATACAATATGCAATGATTGGTAAATAATAATAGATGCTATAAATGATTCAACCATAAGTAACTAAATCTTTGCATTGTTCGATTATACAATTTATTGTCTGTGAGGCTCCATATTGGGCGTTTATGTGCATACTTTGATTTAGGTCTTTCACATATAATATGAAAATAATTAATCACAATAACTAAAGAATATTGCGTGCAAATTATTATTAATACCAAATATTAACTCACCTAAACATAACAGGTCATTTCGGGACTGGGGGGTTGGATGGCTGAATGGTTAGCACGTGCGCGCTGTATCATAAAGCCTGTCATTGAGTCAACTGGCTTGGTTTCGAATCCCCGGTTGTACGTGACAAGGAGTAGGGTGGCCTGTCCAACCTCGTGGGTTTTCTCCGGGTCCTCCCACTGCTAAAGACCCCTACGCGCAAGCGAATTATTGAAATAAAATTAAACCATGTCAGTCCCGCAATGACCTAATTTGTCTCGAGTGGACGTTAAACCCCATTCCTCTCTCTCCTCTCTCATTTCGGGACTAACATATGTTTCAATTTTATTTCAATAATTCGCTTGCGCGTATGGGGTCTTTAGCAGTGGGAGGAAACCAGAGGACCCGGAGATTGGACAGGCAACACTACTCCTTGTCACGTACAACCCGGGAAAGGAAACCACGCCAGTTGACTCCAATTACAGACATTATAATATAATGCGAGCACCTTTAGTCCGGCTGCTGCAGAAATGAAAACTCGGACGTTAAACCCCATTTCATTTCTTTGATTTTAAAATAGGCACCAGGCGACTCAAAACCGGCTCTTACTTGTGACGGGGGGGGGGGGGGCTACTTGTTCGAAAGGGGCGCAAACATGTAAACGCAGCTGTCAGGGGAATATTATCCATAGAATAAAAAATAAACAAATCCCGTATATATGGAGATCATTAAAATTTGTTGTTTGTTGAAAAAATATATTTTCCTCCTTTTTCACGAAACGATGATGGGTCATATTCCCGAAGCAATGGTAACGAGCTTTAACATCTTAAATGAAGAGCTGGTAATGCACGTTATCATTGCTTTAATAATATGATGGGTGTTTTATCATCATCCCTCCGTCGATAATTTCGTGTGACCGGTTGCGCATTTGTCATTTTGTTTATTCGTTTCATTCTATTTACCGTCGCTTTAAATTTACACACTTCTCGTAACTAAAGCATTTTGTTATCTCAAAGTTATCTAAAATTAACTGATTTAATTATGCGTTAGTTTTATCTCTCATTGTAAAATGTTATGATAAAGATATCTATAAAAACAAGCACAACCATTGTATTATGGCTGTGTACAAAAAGGCGAGATGTGAACATATTAACTCATAGGGTGTTATCGATAAAATGTATATCAGATATTTAAGTAAAACTATTGACCGATACCGATAATTTGTATATTAAATAGTTAATAGATATTTAGACATAATACGTCTCTGTAGCTTCCAGGTAGCTAGCGTACATTTCACAACGTAAAAACAGTTCAGGTATACAGTCTACATACCAAGGTAACAATCAAACGCATTTCAAAAAGGAACACAACTAGACTTGCTTGCAAGACTGAAGGCTTTCACCGTGCCAAGGCGTCACACGATCGACAGATGCATGACAAAAGACTATCCCCACCACTCCCGCACCCCCCAAATAAAAACACAAATATGCATAACTCTGACACGTTCTTTGCATGCGCATTACGATAGAGAAGGGAATTGAAAAATAGAGTTGAACAATTCACATCATGATTATCCTAGATCGGTAGAATCGAACAGACGCCGGCAATCCTCCCACCCCCTAAACAAACACACACTCACCCCCCCCCCCCCAAATAAAAACACACATTTGCATAACTCAGATATTGACATGTTCTTTGCATGCGCATTACGATAGAAGGGAATCGAAAAATAAAGTTGATCTACTCGAAATGTTAAAAGAACAGCAATGTCGCAAAAGATATTAATATCAAAGTAAAATGAAATGGGGTTTAACACCATTCTGCTCGGAATGGACCATGAGGAATGTTTCGAACGTACAGCGGCGCTAGCCTACTCTTATATACAATTCCAACTGCCAAGGGATCTTTTACAGTCACACCAATGTGTATGCGGGACTTCGGAATCGCGTTCATGTCAGCTACTGAAATATGTAACTGGTTCAAAAATTAAATATCGCCAATTTTCTGGTTTCGTGCACGTTAAAGATTTGACGTCACTAACATGTAAAAGTTTACTATTAATTACAGACAGAGTCCAGGATCAAACTACTGAAGCAGTCAAGAGCCAGGATGTTCGCGACTACTTTGTTTTTTTATATTTACTGATACTATCATATTTCATTATTTGTTAGCGTAGGACATTGTCATTTATATATATATTAAACATGTATTATATGTCTTATCATAGAAGTCTATAGTGTTATGTTCTTTCTTAATCATTTGTTTAAATACCTTAATTGTTCGCACCTTTCTAACCAGGGTAATTACATAACTGTTAAATTAAACAATGGATAACTCCTACCTCTTAAAATGATTTATATAATTAGTAAATAATTATTATTATCTAATGATTGTTGTTTTGTGACATATATAGTGTAACCAATATATGCATTGTACTTTTATAATCAATATGATACTGTGTATTAGTCCTGTTTATGTTCTTATGATTTGAATTTCTTCATGCAATATTTGTAAATCGCCAGTAGGAATAAATGTCTCTTATATACATGTAGATACATTATGATGGCTGGAATTTCTTGTCTACGATATCACCTTCGGTGGAAG